AATGTCTTTCATTCATGTCCCAGATCACACTTACGGTCGTTAAAGGAGTCTGGGGTCATTCCTAGCTCACATACGTTTTCCCATTTTCTTCATGGTTACGTTAAAGCTGGGTAAGTTACACAGTATTTTCATGTTAGCTCGTTGTTCTGTAACCAGTTATCATTTTGGCGCTTCGAATCAGGCGTAGTTAATAAGTAGCTCTTGATATTTTTAAAAAAAATTTGCTATTGGCACTTTTTCTTTGCATAAATTTTACGTACTCGTAACTCGTCCTTTGACAGAACATAGCCATATCTTTTTTAAAGGCTACACAAAAGCTATAGTCAGTGTATTTTTACCTGTTGAACCGTCTAAAGTGGGGGATTGTTCATTTATTTTTCCTGCCTACTAGCTAAAAATGTTGGAATCTCAGGTAGTTTGACAGCATTCTCTAGGTTTACCGTTGTTACTTAGATATTTATACTCCCACAAAACTACATGGGATTAGAATCGGTCAGTTACAACGTAAAACCTAGTACGTATGTACATCAGTTCAATCTACTATAACAGACATACTTTCCGACGACCGACTCGAGTTGTATTCCTTGACATTAAGGTGGCGTTCGACTGTCGATCGTTTCTATCATTAAAAGGCATATCAAAGAAGTATATTAACCTTGTACAGACTCCCCACTCGAACACTTTGTTGAGTCAGGGATTATGGCGAAATCTCATAGGAATTATCAACTTTGAGTGGTGTTGGTCAAGGTAGTTCGTTTCCCCCACTTTTATTTAATTTCGTCACAGACGCTTTTAAAGATAACACTTATCGTGAATTATGAGGAGTCGATCTTTTACCGGGAAATTCTCTTTTTGATTTAGAATGTGTAGATAATATAAATCTGTTTGAAGACACTAACAAATTGCCGAGTCGTTTGACCACTTTAAGCAGCAATGTAAGCATGTCGGTAATGCGATTAGCTCTGTCTACCGACTAAAGGACGGGTATACTACTCATCTCTTCTCTTTTTTATGGCCGTGAAACATAACCCTTAAAGTTAGAGGATGTTCGTAAGTTACCAGAATTCGATTATCAATGCCTTCCAACACCGCTCATATGTGTTGAGAACATCGAATTGACAATTGGAGGTTATGTGGAGAGCACTACGTATGGATGACAAATCGATTGATGGTATGGTGAGTTTTTACCGACTGAGGTGGTTGGGACATGTATTACTTGTGTCCAACCACCGACTACCTTGGCAGACTGGTGTATGAGCAAGTTGAAAGAAAGCTAGAGGAAGTTAGACCAAAATATGGCATTACCCTATGATCTAATTGACTGTTGACCTGGGTCATGTTGGTAGATACAGATTAATTGTCTTGGGTCCACTCAATAACTTCTATCAATTGCTGGAGACTGGTTGAAATCTCACAGTTCGCAATAGCACAGCTGTATTCGCTGTTTATCTACCTAACTGCAAGTTTAAAGCTAAAGTGAAGTAGGACGATTGAGCATAGGTTCAACAATCTCTCGCCGTAGAAAACTTATAACTTTAGCAACTGGATTCCTTGCCCAACTTTGAAATTAAGGATAGTCGGATTCACTATAGTCCACCTTTGTGATGTTCTGGAATTAGATACAGTTGAATAACCATTTTTTATGGGTCTTACTTAGATGATTCAGATGTAAGGCTTTTAAAATGGGGTTTCTGGGACGAAACAGATTCTGTATAGAAAATTAATTTTTGGTTGTCTTAAACGTCGAGATGTAACTATTTGGCATTCTGAAAAGAAAGTCAACCATCATCGGTTCCATACTTCAAAGTGGCAGACTCTAGCCAACAAATGTGACAGTCAGTCAGTCAGTTACAACGTAGGACCAGGCACATATGTGCATCGGTCCAGGTTGCCATACCGCATCAGCACAACAAGATGAACACCGGATTCATAGCGGTGGTTATGTCAAAGGTGGTAATATATAAGAGAAAGATTGCATATAGAGATATAGTAAAAGGAGAAAAAATTGGTTCGTAGAAAGAAAGGTATGAAGCGATTTTAATCTCTTAGTTTAAGGGAAGACAGGGAGTGTATACACTGACACCATTGTGATCGATTCTGAGCCATGTCACCAAGAGTCTCCAACCATCGGTTACGATAGTCACACGGACCCCAACCAAGTAGTCTGCATCTACCAATATGGCTCAGACTAGAAGTTAGTGACTTCAAGCACTGATGCCACGTTTTGGTTTGGCCACCCCTAAGTTTCTTCCAACCATCTCGAATACCGGATAGCATTGCACGTCGTCGTAATCGATATTCAAGCATACGTAACACGTGGCCCAACCATCTCAGTCAATGAAGATTCATAACCTCATCAACTGATTTACCATCATTTCCTAATACCCTGCGTTTAACCTCACTATTACTTACCCGGTGATCCCAACAGACGCCAGCCATATTTCTAAGGCATCTGTGGTCAAATACTAGTAGCTTACGAGTGTCTTCTACTCTTAAAGGTCATGTTTCGCTGCCGTAAATTAAAACAGAACGGACTGCCGCGCAGTATACTCGTCCTTTTATTGATAGACGGATATCTCGCCTTCGCCATAGGTGACGTAAGTTGGCAAAAGCCAATCGAGCTTTTCGAATCCGTGCTGAGATTTCGTCCGATACCAACCCATTAGGGCTGATCAGACTTCCAAGATAAGTGAAGTTGTCGACGCGTTCGACTACTTCACTCCCTATCCTTAGTTCAGGTGTTGACGCAGACCAGTCCTGAAGCAACAACTTGCATTCAGAGGGAGAGAAGCGCATTCCAAACATTCTGGCATTGTTGCTCAGTGCTACCAGAAGACTCTGCATTTTGTCAGCGTCTTCACGAAACAGGACTATGTCATCTGCGTATTCTGAGTCGATAAGTGGACCTCCTGGTAGGAGATCAATACCCGAGAACTCAGTCGACGAGAAAGTTATTTCCATCAGTAGATCTATGATGAAGTTAAACAAAAATGGAGAAAGTGGACAGCCTTGACGGACACCAATTGAGGTTGCAAAAGTAGATGACAGTTCGCCATAAGCTCTGACTCGACTAGTAGTGTTCGAGTAAAGAGCCTTTACAAGGTTTATGTACTTCTGAAGTACGCCTTTTAATGACAGACTGCCACAGAATCTCGCGGTCTACAGAGTCAAATGCTGCTTTTAAGTTGAGAAAGACCACCACTGTCGGACGCCGATAAGTATGCCTATGTTCTAGAACCTGACGAATGGTGAATATGTGGTCGATGCAGCCACGACCAGGTCTGAAGCCAGCTTGATTCTCTCGTGTTTGCAGTTCACGAGTCTTAGTTAGGCGTCTGATAATTATCGAGGCTAGTATTTTAGATATTATATTAGTTAAACTAATCCCTCTGTGGTTGTCACAGGATGATTTTGACCCTCTCTTATATATTGGGACGATAAGTGATTGTGACCAGTTAGATGGGATAACGTCTAACTCCCAGATCGTAGCTAAAATATTAGTCAACCTAATCGCTAAAATTGGACCACCATCTTTAAAGACCTCTGGAGCCAGTCCATCTGGACCAGCTGTCCTTCCTCGTTTCAGATTAACTATAGCCTTTTGAACTTCAGCAAGAGTTGGGGGACCTACTTCAATGTTCCATTCACACTGTGTGGGAATGGAGGGTAGTTGTAGAGTAGCTGAAGGCCAGCTGAACTGTTCTCTGAAATGTTCCGCCCATCGTTCTAAACGTCTGGACTGGGAGCATATGGGAGTATCGTCTTTTTCCGAAATAATCTCACTTACACTTGACTTATTAGTTCCTGTTTCTTTATTAGTCTGTAAAGCTGTCTTGTGTTCCCTATAGTCGCCGCCCTTTCCATCTCTTTTGCTTTCGTTGCCCACCACTGCTCACGGTCGTTTCTTAGACTTTTTCTTAACTTAGATCTGATTTGTTGTCGCTCTTCATTATGTTCGGAACTTGATGGGACGAGTTTGCGAGAATCCATCAGTGTGATAGACTTTGAAGAAATCCACTGGTTCTTTGTAACTCTGTGGTTTAAGTCACTAATAGATGTCATTGTTGTTTCCACAGCTGCTTGTATATCTTTCCAAGCAACATCTGGGTCAGCTTCGTTTTCAGAAGTACCTAAGTGTGACTTTGGTTGTTCCTGTAATCTGATTTTGGCTACCTCGTCACTCAATTCAATCATAATGGATCTTCTTAATATGTTTTTTTGGTGTCCTACGAGACACAAGCAGATGTGTGCTCGTATTAGAGCATGATCGGAGTTCAAAGAGGTATTCCAGAACGAGCGACAGTCTTCTATCGAGCCTCTCTAACGATGACTGATGGCAATATGGTCTATTTGAGTTGATCGTTGGTTTGGTGTAGGGGGTCGCCATGTTAGACGATGTCTCTCTTTATGCTTAAAATTTGTGTTTGCTAAAAATAAGCGATTGTCTGAGCACAGTTGCAGCAGACGATCACCATTATCTGTTCGTTGTGCCGGAATGCTAAAATATCCACCTAAATGTCTTTCTGTTTTGTTTAAACTACCTATCTGAGCATTAAAGTCATCCCCTACGAGTACTATGTCTGAACGTTTGGCTTTCTGATGAAGTTCAGAAAGCTTTCTGTAAAATTCATCTTCCACATCATCTGAGCTTCAGTCAGTGGGAGCGTAGGCAGAAACGACGAAAAGGCAACGACGTGTGTCCCTATCCTTCCGAGTTCTTACGTAGCCGTTTAGCCGAACAGCACATAGACGACTGTTGACGGGGATCCACTCTAGCAGTGCTTGTTCCGCCCTCATGCTTAGTGCTATGCCTACACCTGCCAGTCCACGAGAACTGGCCATCGGGTCGCCAGATACACGTAGGGTGTATCTCGTTGGCTCTCCGTTTTGCCGAGGTGAGGTCAAGTGAATGACCACACTGGAATCCTGTATGCGTGTTTCGGAGACACAGCATACATCAATGGAAAGAGACTCTAGGGTTTTAGCCAAGCAAGCCTGCTGACCGATTTGACATAGGGTGCGTACGTTGAAGGCTCCAATGTGTAGTTTGGAGCGAGGTTTCAGTAGACCTGGGACAGAGTTTTGAGCACTAGAATCGTTGGCTATGGTGACACTTGAGGAGGAAGCCAAAAGAGGAAGTTTAGAGTTGAAAGTCGATGTAGGAGGAATAATAGGAATTGAAGACGGACGTTGATTATGAATACAGTGGTCTTGGGTGCTGTTGGAGGTATGAGGGCGTTTATCACTTCCCGGTTGCCCATACCGAAGAAGAGTTCTTCTGGAGGTACCTGAAAAGGAAATTGGATTAGAGGTGGTCTCAGTGACCTGAGAGCGTGACCGCAGTGCCCAAGGGACAACTGCTTGAGGTCGGTCACACACGACCTTTTCGTGGTGTTTCTTGACGTGTTAGCTCCGTTCTTCAAAGGGCCTTACCGCCGGAGCCGGAAATCCGTGAGGTAAGGTAAGGTGTGCATTTTTAGGGTCGACCTTTTCTAACCCCACCCCTCCTTGTGGGAAGGCAGCATCGCTGTCATGCTGGTTGTCTGAAGGAAACACCTTACTGCTGTCACACCTCTCTACAGTCAGCAGTCCGACTTCGCTTTCGGACCTTGGGTTTGTTGCTTTTAGTCTTACCGCTCTTCAACCGACCTGTCTGACATGGTAGGACTTTGAGTAACGGTTGTTCCAGCCAGTATAGTTCGGTTGCTTCATCACGATAGGCAAGCCCGACCACTACGTCGAGGTAGCAACAACGGTCGGGCACAAATGTGACAGTTCCTGAGGGATTATAAGGTGTGATTAAGTGTCAATCGTAGACTTCATGAAGTAAAATGAGAGGGTGATTTGCTTAGTTACATCACATCTTAATGTATATCATTCTAAAATCTGAAAAATTCCCATCATATTAAAAACACATGTGAATGAAGAATATTCTTTTCAATAAATCCTCTTCAGGTTCTGCAGTTATTTACTCAAATTAATAGTTCCTAATTCACATGCTATAATTTTAAACAATGTATTTGCCTTGAACCTGGCCACTTGTTGAATTATTAATTTGAATATATAACTGTAGAATCGGAAGAGAATTTATTAAAAAGAATATGTTTCTATATCACTGTCCTTGTAAGTTTTTCTCTATGTTTATTTCTTTCATTCTTGATGCTGGGAAGTGTAGCAGTTTTTGTTACAATATTCCTAAGTCTTGACGATCAGATGAAAGTCACATCGGCACATTAATCCAATTTAGAACGCTTCACAACAGTACAAAAGAAAATCAAGTTTGAATGTATATACAATGAAAGAGATACAAGTAACTAATGTCTAATACTATGTTTAAGATCTGGAGATCAAATGTGATTTTCGCTTATTAGGGAAATTCATTTTGTATTTCTGGTTAGGTGCCAATCTAGTGGTTATATTTCTAGATCATTAACTGTTTGGTTATGACTGCGAGCCCTGCTTTACTCGATAACGTTTGGCTACTATTTGACAACAGTAGACGTTTCGTAACCGATATTGCTCATAACCACTTCATAGACATGTATTAAATTACTCAGCTACACTGTTCTATTATCCAGATTTTTTTCTAGCAGTGACTAATGCTTCATTTCTATTCTCTGAGGTCTAGACTTCACTTAGATTTAGAATAGCCATATGAAGTATATACCTAATGGTTTCTGTAACAGGACAATAAATATGCAAATATTTTATCAATAATCATCTACCGTCTTTTATGTATCTTAAAATTGTTCACTTGTTTTGCAGGTTGCCTAATAAGTTGGTTTCTTTGCAAGAAAAGTTGTCAGTTATCGGTTTATGGCCATCGAGAATCGGGTATGAAAGTATCTTGTCTGCTTATGCCGATCTCGGGGACAAAAGTAGTTTGATGAAAACTCTAGATGAAGCCCTCACTGTTCTTCAGCCTGTAAAAGCCGAAATGAAGCAAATTAATTCTCACGTATTTCCTCCGTCATTTATTTTGGATATTTACATAAAGCTCGTTTGTTCGCAAAAAGACCCCAGTGCAACATGTCGCGAAGTACGATACTTTTTATGTTGATTATAAAATTTTATTTTTCTTGACCTTAATCGAATGTATTTTCCACTATATTGTTGATAGCTTCAAACATTCCGTTTTCGTTCATCTTATATTTTCTTTCTCAATTTTATAAAGCTAAGTTGAGGTAAGATAATTTTTTATCTGATGATAATCCCGATCTCACTAATTTGTTTCACAATAATCAACGAGGTATTTGGCATAAATCTAGTGAATACAACTCCACATGTATCTCTTCTAGAGTTGATGCTGGTCCCGAACCTGAGTAGCTGACTGACTGACTGACGAACCTGAGTAAAGAAGGAGGGTTGGGCATGAGGTCTGCAACCCCATTCTGTAGAAAATATCTTCCTGAAAAAACACTAACCAGAATGAACAATTTCAACCATCTAAACCTCGCGCTGGGAGTTGAAGGATCTTCATTCAGAATAGTTATGATGTCTTATAGTGAAAGCCGAGATTCTTCGGAAGTCACGAAGCCGATGTCCCTGGTGTGGCCGAGTGAGGTGGGCTCGCCCTCCCTCTCGAAATGCTCTCACACGGCCACGCGTATACAGCCTCTGCCAGGGAAGTCCTACTCATTGCCTTCTCGTGGCATTACTGTCGTTTAAGAAAATGAGAGGACAAAAGGCGAATGTCCGGCGCTTTAACCGGATCCCAAACCAATGGTGCATATGGGCCCCAATATCCTGAGGGAACAAATGGCGTATGAACCGACCGTTGGTCACCGACTACCATGAATCTGCATCTCCTCACAATGCTCCACTGCCTTGTGGGTCAGATCTTTTGGTCAAAGGCTCGGGTTGTGGCCCCACTAAGAAAACCACCTGCTTCGGTCTGGGCACCCGGGCAGTATCACAGCCCACACACAGATGATGAAATGTCGATATTTTGGAAAATAATCGTCTTGCTTCGATCAACAATCAAACGATTCACATTATCATTATTATTACTATTATTGTTACTATTGTAATTTTTTACGTCATTTATTCACTCTCTTTTATTCCCACTTCATTTATCCTTATTTTTCGACTCATTCAGCAGTTCGCCTATGGTGGAAATTCGGTTCTATCTAAACGTTCTCGAGTCACTGCCTGGTTGAAAATTGTATGCTACCAATACATACGAATACTAAATCAGTTTTTCTGAAACCACGTGCGCCATTCAAACTGTCTACCTTCAACGTTCGCACACTTATGCAGGTCGGATAACAGATAGGGCTGGCTATGTCTTTGGGAAGTCTTAATATCGACGTTTGTTGTCTATGCGAGACCCGTATTCAAGATTCTGGTGAAGTATTACAAATTCGTTCTCCATCTGTCGCTTCAAGAAGCGTGTTTTACGTGCGTTTATCCGGGGACCCTGTGGCATGTTCATCTGGTCTTGCTGGCGTTGGTGTCGCACTAAGCGCTAGAGCTGAGGCAGCACTGATCGATTGGATTCCCATTAACAGTCGGTTATGTGCTGTTAGATTAAGAGTTCCATCAAAGTGAGAAGAAATCGGTGTGAGAAACCATGTCTTTTCGTCATCGCCTATGTCCCGACAGATTGGAGCCCGGATGCAGTCAAGGATGAATTCTACCACCAGTTAACTGTTCGTATCCACAAATCAGTTGTTTACGAAAAAACGCAGTCTAGTTACGAATCAAAATTATTGAACATTTTTTCCAAGTGTATTTTATATTCTTATTTAAAACGACTGAACATCATCGTACTACTTTTCTTTCTTCATAGATATTGAAAAAAATGCCTCTAATACTTGGCCCAAACACTTTTGCATCGGATGCAGTCAGAATTCTCCTAGCTCGTGGACGTCCTGCAGCTGCTCTAGAAGTTTTTAAGATGATGGATCCGGAGAATATGAATAGCGCATATTTGTATTCATTACTTCATTTTGCTGTTCTTGGCGGTTTGGTTAGTTGTCCACGTATTATTATTATTACAATTATTATTTCGCTTTATATTTCCATTGTGACTCTTTTTGTAGATAGTGTGAATGTGTTGCTGAAATGTTGGACATATATTATATGTTTGTCCACGAATTTTCAGGTTCAGTTTTATTTAGATGAATGTTTATGTAATATACAAAAAAATTGTGTAACATCACTGTTGTCTATGATTTTCACTCATATCGTATTATCTAGAGTCAGTCAGCCAACTACAACGTAGGACCAGGCACATATATGCATCGGTCCAAGTTGCCACACCTCATTAGCATGACAAGATAAACACGGAATTCATAGAAGTAGTCGCTTCAACGGTAGTAATATATAAAATAAAGATTGTGTACAAGGATATGATAAATGGAGAAGGAATTAGTTGGTAGGAAGAAAGATATGAAGCGATTTTAATCTCATGTTTTATGGGGACATAAGGAGTGTATACACTAACGCCATTGTGATCGATTCTGAACCCTGTCACCAAGAATACTCGTTCCTTTATTAATAGACGGATATCTCGCCTTCGCCATAGGTGACGTAAGTTGGCAAAAGTCAGACGAGTTATTTGATTCCATGCTGAGATTTCGTCAGACACCGACCTATTAGGGCTGATCAAACATCCAAGATCAGTGAAGTTGTCAACGCGTTCGACTACTTCACTCCCTATCCTTAGTTCAGGTGTTGACGCAGACCAGTCCTGAAGCAACAACTTGCATTCAGAGGGAGAGAAGCACATTCCAAACATTCTGGCATTGTTGCTCAGTGCTATCAAAAGACTCTGCATTTTGTCAGCGTCTTCACGAAACAGGACTATGTTATCTGGGTTTTCTAAGTCGATAAGTGGACCTCCTGGGAAGAGACTAGTGCCCGAAGATTGAGTCGACGAATACGTTATTTCCATCAGTATGCCTTGATTAACACCACTTGAGGTTGCAAAACCAGATGACAGTTCGCCATAAGCTCTGACTCAACTGGTAGTGTTAAAGTAAAGAGCCTTCAAGTATAGACAGTGATAAAGAACCTTTCGGTCTACAGAATCAAATGCTGCTCTTAAGTCAAGTAAAACTGTCATTGTCGAACGCTGATAGGCATGCCTATGTTCTAGAACCTGACGAATGGTGAATATGTGGTCGATGCAGCCACGACCAGGTCTGAAGCCAGCTTGATTCTCTCGTGTTTGCAGTTCACGAGTCTTAGTTAGGCGTCTGATAATTATCGAGGCTAGTATTTTAGATATTATATTAGTTAAACTAATCCCTCTGTGGTTGTCACAGGATGATTTTGACCCTCTCTTATATATTGGGACGATAAGTGATTGTGACCAGTTAGATGGGATAACGTCTAACTCCCAGATCGTAGCTAAAATATTAGTCAACCTAATCGCTAAAATTGGACTACCATCCTTAAAGACCTCTGGAGCCAGTCCATCTGGACCAGCTGTCCTTCCTCGTTTCAGATTAACTATAGCCTTTTGAACTTCAGCAAGAGTTGGGGGACCTACTTCAATGTTCCATTCACACTGTGTGGGAATGGAGGGTAGTTGTAGAGTAGCTGAAGGCCAGCTGAACTGTTCTCTGAAATGTTCCGCCCATCGTTCTAAACGTCTGGACTGGGAGCATATGGGAGTATCGTCTTTTTCCGAAATAATCTCACTTACACTTGACTTATTAGTTCCTGTTTCTTTATTAGTCTGTAAAGCTGTCTTGTGTTCCCTATAGTCGCCGCCCTTTCCATCTCTTTTGCTTTCGTTGCCCACCACTGCTCACGGTCGTTTCTTAGACTTTTTCTTAACTTAGATCTGATTTGTTGTCGCTCTTCATTATGTTCGGAACTTGATGGGACGAGTTTGCGAGAATCCATCAGTGTGATAGACTTTGAAGAAATCCACTGGTTCTTTGTAACTCTGTGGTTTAAGTCACTAATAGATGTCATTGTTGTTTCCACAGCTGCTTGTATATCTTTCCAAGCAACATCTGGGTCAGCTTCGTTTTCAGAAGTACCTAAGTGTGACTTTGGTTGTTCCTGTAATCTGATTTTGGCTACCTCGTCACTCAATTCAATCATAATGGATCTTCTTAATATGTTTTTTTGGTGTCCTACGAGACACAAGCAGATGTGTGCTCGTATTAGAGCATGATCGGAGTTCAAAGAGGTATTCCAGAACGAGCGACAGTCTTCTATCGAGCCTCTCTAACGATGACTGATGGCAATATGGTCTATTTGAGTTGATCGTTGGTTTGGTGTAGGGGGTCGCCATGTTAGACGATGTCTCTCTTTATGCTTAAAATTTGTGTTTGCTAAAAATAAGCGATTGTCTGAGCACAGTTGCAGCAGACGATCACCATTATCTGTTCGTTGTGCCGGAATGCTAAAATATCCACCTAAATGTCTTTCTGTTTTGTTTAAACTACCTATCTGAGCATTAAAGTCATCCCCTACGAGTACTGTGTCTGAACGTTTGGCTTTCTGAAGAAGCTGAGAAAGCTTTGTAAAATTCATCTTCCATATCATCTGAGCTTCAGTCAGTGGGAGCGTAGGCAGAAACGATAAAAAGGTAACGACATGTGTGCCTATCTTCCCGAGTTCTTACGGAGCCGTTTAGCCAAACAACACTTAGACGACTGTTGGTGGGGATACACTCTAATAGTGCTTGTTCTGCCCTGGTACTTAGTGCTGTCTATAGATCTTTCAGTCAACGAAAACTAATCATCGGGTCGCCAGATATACAAAGGGTGTATCTCGTTGGCTCTCCGTTTTGACGAGGTGTGTTCAAATGAATGACTACCCTAGGATCCTGTATGCGTGTTTCGGAGACACAGCATATATCAATGGTACGAGATTGTAGAGTTTTAGCCAAGGAGGCCTGTTGGACGTTTGGACATAGTGTGCGTATGTTGAAGTCTCCAATGTGTAGTTTGGAGCGAGGTTTCAGTAGACCTGGGACAGTGTTTTGAGCACTAGAATCGTTGGCTATGGTGACATTTGAGGGGGAAGCCGAAAAAAAGTTTAGAGTTTGAAGTCGATGTAGGAGGCGTAATGGAAAGTGAAGACGGAGGTTGATTATGAATACAGTGGTCTTGAGTGCTGTTAGAGGTATGAGGGCGTTTATCACTTCACGGTTGTCCATACCGAAGAAGGATTCTTCTGGAGGTACCTGAAAAGGAAATTGGATTAGAGGTGGTCTCAGTGACCTGAGAGCGTGACCGCAGTGCCCAAGGGACAACTGCTTGAGGTCGGTCACACACGACCTTTTCGTGGTGTTTCTTGACGTGTTAGCTCCGTTCTTCAAAGGGCCTTACCGCCGGAGCCGGAAATCCGTGAGGTAAGGTAAGGTGTGCATTTTTAGGGTCGACCTTTTCTAACCCCACCCCTCCTTGTGGGAAGGCAGCATCGCTGTCATGCTGGTTGTCTGAAGGAAACACCTTACTGCTGTCACACCTCTCTACAGTCAGCAGTCCGACTTCGCTTTCGGACCTTGGGTTTGTTGCTTTTAGTCTTACCGCTCTTCAACCGACCTGTCTGACATGGTAGGACTTTGAGTAACGGTTGTTCCAGCCAGTATAGTTCGGTTGCTTCATCACGATAGGCAAGCCCGACCACTACGTCAAGGTAGCAACAACGGTCGGGTGATAATATCAGTAATTCCATACAATTCTTGTTGTTGAGAGGATTCTCGTTTTAGAATACGCAAACATTTACGCTGAAAATCCATTTGTTTTACACCGTTTACATGCATTTTGTTTATTAACTAACATAGTATTCCTCATTTATTGTATTCGCTTAACTTAATATACTCGTTTTATGTTAAAATAACGATATATTTTTAATATACTAATGAGCAGAAATTTTATAAATATATTATTTTACGATTGACATGTTATCCAATGCTTAATTGGTTGAAAATTATTAAACCTAACCTTGATTATGATAAATACTTGTTTCACAGAGTGAAGAACAACTGCAACCATTCTGGAAAATTCCGACTCGTGATGATTCGCACCTTCAAATGCTGGTCAATAAAAGTAAATTTTGTATGTTGTTTATAGGAAATAAAAATTATTGCTTTCTTCATCATGAGTAACATTATGTGTATTTTAGTGAATGCGTTCAGCTACTTTTCGTTATGTTATCTCGAAACTTAATCCTGCTATACCTAGTGGTAATAATATTACTACTACTCTGAGATATTAAGTAATATCAATCGATTCACCTCAGTTTTGTTCATTTCCTACTTAATTCATATTCTAGACAACAGCCTTGATGTGGAAATAGTGTAGGTGGATGGAGTTGTAAAGTTTCAGGCAAAATTCATTTTTTATTGTTTGTTTGAATCTTCTCATTGATGTTTAAGACTGCAATTGGTCAGTCTCTTATTGGCGTATGTGCATCCTGTTTGGATTTCCTCGATATTGCCTTCACTCACAAACATTATAAGCAAAGATGGATCGCAGCTAGCAGTGGAATCCAGGACGCGCTTTTTTCGTATTTAGGACTCGACAGCCAGTTGTACTTGTACCCCTGAGATGATGTTCACTCCAGGATTCGAACCCAGTGTCGTTCACTTCGAATGCCATCGTGTCACCCACCTAGCTACTTAGTCCTGATAGCCACTGGTTTGTGCAATGGGGTTAATTTTTAATTCACTTTGTATTGTTTATTTAAATCTTCCTATCGATGTTTAGAACTGGAATTGATCAGTCACCCCATTGCACAAGATAGTGACTATCCGGATTCAGTAGCTAAGCCAATAAAGCAACGATGTTTGAAGCGAACCGTACTGGGTTCAAGTCCCGGACTCAACATCAACTCTGGGATGCAAGTACATCTGTCTGGCGGGTCCTAAATAGGACGAAACGCGCGTCCTGGATTCCACTGTTAGCCACCATCCATTTTTGCTTATTTTCAACAAAATGTCTAAACCACTGTTTGAGTACCTATCCTCTATCCAAAACTACCTAGTCAGCACTCTACAGACTTTCTAGATAAACAGTTTGTATGTTTATTGGACACAACCTCCTAGTCTTTCTTTTGACCATAAAATGTATTTTTCATAGATTTTGAACGGAACGTTTCACAAAAATCCGGAAATCTTGCAAACGAATTGAAGAACCCAGAAGGTTAGTACATCTTTAAGTGGTAGTACTCTATCATATTTGGCGAAAAATTTCAATTTCGTTGTGTGAACTTAGTTTTATTATTACTGCTGAAAACCTACATGTGTTATATTATACACCTACAAATATAACTCTTAAATGAGAAATAGTATTGTCATGTATTATTTCTTGTGTTTAGAAGTTACATGGAATCACCTAGAAACTTTAAGCTAATTCTTGTTTTTACATAATTAGAACGTCTTAATATTCAGATAGATAACACTTTTGGAGATTTAAGCACATCAATTAACTTATCAGTTAAAGAGGGTTTGGATAGAAGTGCGTTCCCAACTTAGAAAACACAACTTCATGAAATTCATTCTCCTAAACTACAAATTTTTCCACCATCGCAAAGGTTTTTTATTAGGTGTTTTAAGCGCAAAAAATTATAAAGGCATTGACCTCTGGTACGAAATACTAGATTATACTAGATAATTTGACCACTATACTAGGCCACGTGATGCACAGATACACTTCAAGCGAAATTTTTATTTCTTAACCTTGATATTCTACTGTCGTGATGTCTCACCTGCGTTACAATCCTTAAATTTGATCTTAACGACACAGTTCTGACGTTCTTTTCTTGGCACTGTGTCTTTCACTTTTACTGGTTTAGAACTAAAAATCGTTCGTTCAAAAATACTCTTATGTTTCAATGGTTCAGGATCTTGATTTCATCTGGAGCCTATTTGTGATATGAGATCACCACCGTGTTAAGCCATTCTTTCGGCTTATCTCTCCTCTTAACTTCTTAAAGTTTCTTGATTAACCTTTTTACTTTTCATCATCAAAGTGGTCACAGTACTGAGATTTAAAATATCAACTATATCGAGTCAAGATTGATTTCACGTATAGAAGTTTTCAATACAATCCTATTCTCTTCTGTCAATCAATCAATGTCCACGTAACAGACCTCTTAGTGAGCGAATAATATAGTTCTCCACTCTCTAGACCGAGTAGTCACAAGTTGTACTCACTCGTTTGCCGTTTTAAGGTTATTTTAAGTAGCTTGGTTCTTCAAGGATATTAAATAGTCTCAAAATAAATTTTCCTGCATACCAAACTACATGACCTGTGGTCAAAACAGGGATTTATATTCAATCTGTCCTTACCCACACCTGGATCATCTATTTATCTCGCCATATTCTCACTTTATATAATAATAATAGTAATATTATTATTATTGTCATTATTATTATTATTATTATTATTATTATTATTATTATTGCTACTCTGACATTTCAACTAGTACATGTCATAATCACCTGACTTTATCCTTATTATTATTGCTACTATTATCTTTATTAACCCCATGAAACATTTAACATATGAGTTATATCCACATGATTTATTTTACTATATTAATTGTAAATCAGTCCCTTCTTTTTGGAGGAGTTTCGTCTTCTGAGGTGGATGATTTAGTCACGAAGCCTTCATTGTTCCTTTGAATAACGTCATCAGGGAAAACTCAAGGTAGAAGGTAGGTATTGGAATTTATCCCTATGACTGACAGCATATCCCGTTGGCCTTGATCCTGATTGGTTATCATTGACCTTAACTTTCTCATTGTCTGTGTATTCATTTTCATTGTCTCCTGCTTCGACTTAATTCTCGACCTTATATTTGTCCATGATGTTTTCTAATTGATTGGTAAATTGTGTCGATTATGGTGTGACTACCGGTTTTTAGTTGACCATGTATGCCAAGTTCCTGGAACGTCTGTTATCTTCCTTGTATCCTCCGTATTCAAAGGCATTTTCCTAGTCAAATGTGTGCTCACAATTGTTTACGTGTGTCGATATATGCGATGTTAAATCTTTTTGACGGTAATCGACAAGATACACTAGAAATATGTTTCGTGCTATTTTACACTCATCAACGTTTTGTATGTGTAATTTTGAGCAAAATTATTCTTCCTGGTAGATTTTATCCTGTGTCATCCAGCTTCATAGTCAAAGATGTTAACACGGAGTTATTTGGGTCACGATCAGCCTGCTATCGGACTAACATTTATTTTTCCCCTAAATGCCCTGGTACGGACGAGAATGGGGAGAGTCCGCTCTCTCTCCCTCTCCCTCTCGAAAACCCCTCACATAGTCACGCATATACAGCCACTGTCAAGAAAGTCCTACTCCCTGCCTTCTTGCAATGGGGTGTTGTTTACGAAATTGAGACGACGAAAAGCGAATGTACGGCGCTCCAACCGGGTTGACAGATATAGAAGATCCACCTAGGGTAGTTGGAAAACCCTAATTCAGAACCAATCGTGCACATAGGCTCCAGAATCCTGAGGAAAGAAATGGCGTATGAGCCAATTATTGATCACTGGCTACCATGGGACTGCATCCCCTAACGTTGCTCGTTTGCATTATGGATTAGACGTTTAAGTCGAAGACTCCGGGTGTGGTCACCTAGGGAAAGCATTTGCTTCAGTCTGTGCACACGGGCAGTATTCCAGTTCACGCGCGAACCAATTGACTTATGTGAAGCATATGTATTCGGTGCCCATTTGTACGAATATTGATATGCTTAAATAAATAAATGAATAATACATCCATTTAAAATTGATTGATAACTGAGAAGGGGCCAATCAATCTTAGATACATCAAGGCGTTCGATATCTAGATGTATTTTTCGTGCAGACGAAGGTGAAGATGACGGCCAATTTGTCTGATTTTGTGTTTCTTGTAGTTGGTGCAATTTATTTGCTAGATGGAGCTCGTCTTTTCCTCTTTTGTAATCTCATGCTTTGGTTTGCATATATATATGATACGACGACCATTTTATTGGTTTTTGCATTTGGTTTTCTTTTTGCCAATCACTGATTGATATTTTTGACAATGTTACTTGGATACTTTTCCCTTAACACATTTACTTACTCCTGTTACCCCTCGTGAAGGAGCATATGCCAACCATCAGCCTTCTCCATCCAACCCTGTCCTGGGGAAATTCTTTTCATGTTTGCTACCGATTCCTGACGTCGTGTGTTCTTCGATCTTCTTCTTTCCGTTTCCCTTCACCATTCGAAGCTAGGGTTTGCCTCGTGATACAGTTGGGTGATTTCCGTAATGTATGTCGTATCCACTCCCGACATCTTTTCCTAATTTCTTCTTCGCCTGGAATCTGGTTTGTTCTCTCACACAGTAAGCTGTTGCTGATGGTATCCGGTCAACGGACATTGAGTGTCTTCTATAGACAATTGTTTACCGATACTTGTATATGTTTGATTATCGTTGTGGTAGTTCTCCATGTTTCAACTCCATACAATAGATGTGTTGTGTCGTTCGTATTGAAGATTCTGACTTTGGTATTAGTTTACAGTTGTTTCGAGTTCCATATGTTGTTAAACTGTAGGGATGCGGCCCTTGCTCTGCCAATCCTCGCCTTTATGTGTGCATCGAATCCTTCTTGTTCATCGATGATACTGACCAGGTACATGAATCATTCCACATCTTCCAGTGCTTCTCCATCAAGTCATCAAATATTTGTCTTCCTTTTTCCGTGCTATAAATGTTCTGTAGTGTCAGCGCAGTGGATTTAGTGAAATTTTGCGTTCATTTTCATCGAGTTATCTCCATGCTTCATCTCTTTTTCTCTACTGATACTACTATTGCTCCTACATCTTGATAATTTTATCTCACTGTGCTGGTGTGATGTGCCAACTATGTCTAGTATACATATGTCCTGGGTTCTGTTTCGCTTATAACTGACTAACATGAATCGATAATCGAATAGTAACTTGGTTTTCTGAATAGTTAAAGGTTCTCCTGAATGCCTTTTACATTTTTGTGTATAACGCAGTACAGTTCTACAACTGTCTCGGATGTTTTTTTATATTTTCACTTCAACATAGTCTTCCAGTTTTCTGTTGTGAGCTCATACAAAAAATTCTCCTTTCTGTTAAGTTTTTCACTACACATGGGCCACATCAAAAAATGACGTCATATGATTGTTCACTACATCTTATGTTACACACGTGTGCTTCATAGATGTTCAAAAATCTAATCTGATGGTATGTATTCTTGTTTAAATTAAATGTTTAACTTATAGACATTGACAAGTATCAAGTTGTCACTGGGATTTTGGTCAAGACAAATACTTACTTTCCTATTGATCTTGAAATAAAGGATGGGATACTAAATAAGAACTGCAAATAGGATGATGTTGCAAATCTTCATCAACTGTGGCTCGGACATGTATTAAATATGCACAATCACCTCCCGTTTCGATGGACGGGATTTTTTGGTTTCGGAGTATGCTGGAATAAATCTAAGGGGATAAAAGACCGAAAACGTGCTGTTAGTCCTTGATGGATGATGGATCACATAACTCGGAATCGTTCATAATAATCCAAATGCATTGGCTCTTTGTCTCCACTTAAGTCCTGAGTCCCAGAATCTAATACTTTTTTCTTTCTATAATTAGTCTTTTCAACTCCTGTTACTCTAGGATTTTTACTGGCAATTTTATCTCGCTATGCTATTGTAGTTTGGAAATGTAAATCGATGTACATATATGCCAAGTCCGACGTTTCATGTGACCGACTGATTTTAATTTAAGGTGAAGTGCCGTACAATCATCTGTTAATTACTTGGTCTCAGCTAAATTCCCTGTCAGTTGATTGTTAAGGAATTACTCTTTCTCTGTCCGAATTAATATAATCTCGGTTTAACTGCTATTTAATTGCTACGACCAGTATTGTTCAAGCTGTTTAATTTAAATATTCGCTTGACTGAGATCGCTTTTTTAAATTTTTAATCCAATACAAATGATTTTGGCGTGAAGAATAACCACATTTTAAAGGTGTTTCCTACATATTTAACTTACAATATTACTAATTACTTATCGTTCCAATTTTAGATACCGCTCATTCATCTAGGACTCTATCTGATCTTGAATCCATATTATCGATCCACAATGTTTCCGACCCTGTTCTACGCGCTTGTGCTTTATTTCGTGAAAATATGTATCACAAATTGTCATTTCGTGTTGTTGACATTGAACATGTTTTCTGGAATGCCGTTAGAAAGAATTCGCTTAGCAATGTGCCTCGCTCAATCGAAGCGCTTATTGATCTGTTCCTGTTGACGTATGTTACTTTTAAAACATTTAGTCGCTTTGATAAATTTCGATAATGCAATGAGATGAGGTTTATCAAAATTATGTGATATATTTGCGCAATACATTTCGAACAGTCTGATCACACAACTCATTGACCTTTTAATTGTCATATAAAAATGTCTTAACAAGTATATGTGTGATCAGATTGTTCGAAATGTATTGCACAAATATATCACATAATTCTGATAAACCTCGTCTTATTGTATGTTACTTTGTTTGTTAAATATGAAATAGCAACGCTTTTAGTCTGAATAAGTATATTTCTCTTCGGGTTTTCTTATTTATTTCGTAGTTATTACTGAAAAACCATTCTATACTGTTACCTTTCATAGTAATAGCTTGTTTACGAACTCAAGATAATTCATGAAGGTTTAGAAATTTTAGTAGCGTTGATCATCTGTCAAGTTAGAGATGCCAATTATCAGTAATTTGTCTTGTAAAAACGACCTGTGGTCGTAAATTTTCTTTTATTATGACTAAGGAATCTTTGATGGTTTTTGGGGCCCTTTATTTTGCCGTCATTTAGATCGGACAATGTTTGTTGACGAGCTCTCCAATTTAGTGGCCCGGGATCTGACTCCATGTAGATCGTATGAATGTTTGTTATCGCCTATCCTCGTATTTAATCATCGACTTAAATCACGTTAGTCGGAATTCAATAAGTCAAATAGTGAGAATGAACTTTTGAATACATATACTTTGTATATGAATATTTATAGCCGCACAAAATTAAGTTACAGACATGTGATGAATGGGATAAGAAGTGCACGCACACGCTCATATGAAAACAATCAAGATTGGTAAGCGAATAATTAACACGGTAAAAATATGACTCAAGTAGAATGAGTAGATTGGCCTGTCCGGATGCCAGAATGAGGTATGTGGGCTTAACATAATAACTGACACTACAGGTTGTCAACACTAGCAGTTTTGCATACAAATAAAACATGAATGATGAGTCCCAATCTGTCTAGTTCAAAATGCACAACTACCATTTTATTACATCATAGATATCATACAGGTTGTTTCGGTGACTTAGTAAAGTACTGACTCATTAGTCAAAATACTCAACTTTGAACGATTGTGCTGCATCTGCAACACTCACTTAACGTTGTTGGATACTGACAACTAAATAGTATCAGTATCTCCTCCATAAAACTGTCTTCTAGTCAAGTTGATTATTTATTTATATATTTATTTGAACACATAAATATTGGTACAAGAGGGCACCAAATATATATGCGCCACACAAAACAATGAGAATGGGAAGAGAAAAAAGGAGGTAAGGAGCGTAAAAGAAAACAAAGAAGAACAATAACGATCAGATTAGTGTAAGATAGTATAATAATAATAATATCTTCGGATGATATTGTCTTACTGTGCGATAATGTCCAAGCCATGCAATCCGCACTTAATCAGTTGGCAATCAGTGTCCGTAGGTATGGTATGTGCTTTGCACCTTCGAAGTGCAAAGTACTTCTACAAGACTGGCAGGATTCTAATCCTGTACTCACCCTGGATGGTGAGAAGATAGAAGTAGTCGAGTTGGTGTATCTAGGTAGCTGCATAAGTGCTGGTGGTGGCATGAGTGATGAGATCAATGCACGTATAGTGAAAGCCAGAGTGGCTTATGCCATTCTGGGCCACCTTTGGCACCTACGTGATGTTAGTCTGTCTGTAAAAGGTTGGATCTGCAACGCGTCGGTGAGAGCAGTTCTGCTCTATGCTTGTGAAACCTGGCCTCTGTGGCTTGGACATGTTCTACAAATGTCTCCCCAGAGAATTCCACGTCGTGCATTATTTTTCGACTCTGGGACTGGTTGGAAAATGGGGAGAGGTGGTCAGTATATGACATGGTGTCGTGGCATGAAAGAAAGCTGCAAAGGACTGGCTTGTGTTGGTCTTCACGACTCCCTGGTTGGGGTCCGAGAGATGGTGCTACACAGTGGCTAGAGACGTTATCAGATATAGCTGAGAATAGAAGCCAGTGGCGATCCTGCTGTAACCTTCTACTTTCTTCATAAAAAGTGGTTGTATCTTCCTTGACTGAATGATTTCTTCTGATTGTACCTTTCCGTTCCCACATTATTACTGTTATTATTACTACACTACCTTACACCAATCTCTTCGTTATCGTTCTCTCTTTTTTTGACGCTTCTTACCTTTTTTCCCTTCTCTTTAAATTCTCATTGTCTTGTGTGGCGCATATATATTTGGCGCACTCTTGCAACAATATTTATGTGTTCAAATAAAGAAATAATAATAATTATTAATATTATTATTTGTTATATCCGAAGGAAGATCAAATCACGAGTAACTTGTGAGATATATATAAGTCGACTAATATTATCTATACATTCTACTGGTATAACTATTCAATAATTAGGTTATGTATATTTGTATTCCTCTTATTATATGCTTTATTTTGTTTTATAAGTTATTTTTGTACGGTTTACTGTTCTTAAGCTATGTTCAGTTTATTGACTACTGCCTCCCGCGTTCACAGCCACTTTTTGATTTTATTGTGTATGAATGTTATTTCCTATTTTATGGTACGTTGCTGTCTGTTTGATTGATATATAAACCCAGTATGTCTGAAATAAATGATTCGATTCGATTCGCATACTGGGAGCTGATATTTATGTTTGTACTCAAGTGGATGGGCTAAGCGGACATAGAACCAATAAGGACGCTAGGCTGCTCATACTGGTTGAAAGTCATTGCCTTGGCACCGTGCTAAGATTGTATAAGTCGTATTTCCATTAGCGGATAAATCACGTGATAAAAAGCCGGACATAAAGTCATAACAATTATTATTACACTACCTCACAATAATCTGCTCGTTATTGTTCTTTTTTTCTCTCTTCGAATTCTCGTTGTTTTGTGTGGTGCATATGTATTTGGTACCCTCTTGTACCCATGTTTGTGTTCAAATAATAATAATAATTTATGGTAGCATACAATTTTCAACCAGGCAGTGACTCGAGAACGTTTAGATCGAACCGAATTTCCACCATAGGCGAGCTGCTGTATAAGTAAAAGAATAAGGATACATAAAGTGGGATTAAAAGAAAGTGAATAAATGACGTAGTAAACAATAATAATAATAATAATAATAATAATAATAATAATAATAATAATAATAATAATAATAATAATAATAATAGCGTGAATTGTTTGAGCGTAAATCGAAGCGAGAATACAATTTTCAGTAAATATCGTCATTTTCATTTTATTTGTGTGTGGGCTGTGATACTGCCCGGGTGCGCAGACCGAAGTTGATTAGTGTGCAACATGATTCTGATTAGCTTTTTATAGTCTTTATTACGCATTAAAATCGCTGTTCTATTTCCATGTACCTACAGAAAAGATTATGATGGTTTCAAAATTTTCTTTCATCGTGTTGCATTTGATTTACCAAAACATGCACATCTTTTCCTCAATCGGAATACGGTTAAAGAATTCTTAACTGAGCATACTCAAGAGAACTGGGATTTTCTAGTGTCCGGTAAGTGGTCATTTTTGTGTGTCTGTTCATGCTAATTTTAGCAGGACATTTTTAAAATTATGATTCTGGTACTACTATTCAAATTTTGAAAAAACTTAGTTTATTTATAAATTCCTAGGTTGATCCGCTTTTCTAATAGTGAATGCTGGGTGGCAGCATACAATCCCAGTTGTTTAAACGCCTTCATAGAACATTCAGAATAATGAAATTGCGCATCGGTTACTACTCGAGTATGTCTGAAATCTTCCCTTTGTAAAGTTGTCAAATTATTCAACAGAGAAAGAGAAAACGTGTCATGCTTGTATGATTTTATGGTGGTGTAGCTCAGGTATACGATTTTGGTAGGCTACATATTCATCGTCTTGTGCACGAACACCAACTAGCTGTCAAACGCTATGATTTAATTCCGCTCGCACCTATGAAAGTGAAAAATCGTGAACAAATGTTTGAATGGGAAAACGCTAAGATTTTGGATAGTCATAATAAAAAGAAGACCGTAGAAGTTTTAGGGACTTGGCATACATGGTCAACTAACAACCAGTGGTCACACCAAAATCGACCCAATTTACCAATCAATTAGAAAACATCATGAACAAATATAAGGTCGAGAATTAAGTCGAAGCAGGAGACAATGAAAATGAATACACAGACAATGAGAAAGTTAAAGTCAATAATAACCATTGATACTGTTACTGTCAGTATTACTCTGACATTTGTCCTGATGATTTCATCTTGCTATGTTGATGTGTTGTGGGAAGTTAAGAGGACGAACATGTTTGCCAGGTTTTACTTTTCGTATTACTGACCAAAACCAGTCTACATCCAATGGATTCCGAACCTCGCCATTCACCCTTCGCTATGAACCGTATCTTTTTAGAGTGGAAGATTTCTCTTTTTCTAAGGACTCCACTTTAAATATCTACTCATGTGTCACAACTCAAGGAACTAAAATTGGCTTCACAGACTACTGTCATCTATTGGTTTTGTCAGTAAAAGATTTCTAATAACTCAATCGCTTGAGCTGTCTTCTTGTTTATTTATTTAAGCATATCAATATTCGTACAAGTGGGCACCGAATACATATGCTTCACATAAGTCAATTGGTTCGCGCGTGAACTGGAATACTGCCCGTGTGCACAGACTGAAGCAAATGCTTTTCCTAGGTGACCACACCCGGAGTCTTCAACTTAAAGGTCTAATTCATAATGCAAACGAGCAACGTTAGGAGGTGCAGTCCCATGGTAGCCAGTGACCAATAATTGGTTCATACGCCATTTGTTCCATCAGGATCCCGGAGCCTATGTGCACGATTGGTTCTGAATTAGGGTTTTCCAACTACCCTAGGTGGATCTTCTATATCTGTCAACCCGGTTGGAGCGCCGTACATTCGCTTTTCGTCGTCTCAATTTCGTAAACAACACCTGATTGCGAGAAGGCAGTGAGTAGGACTTTCTTGACAGTGGCTGTATACGCGCGACTATGTGAGGGGTTTTCGAGAGGGAGAGAGAGAGCGGACTCTCCCCATTCTCGTACGTACCAGGGCATTCGGGGGTTACCTTCTTACATCGAGAAATATGTAGTTGGTTAACATGTGTAACACGCCTTCCAAAGTCATCTCCGTCAGTAATTAACAATAAAAAAATGATGAATAATCACGTGTATGCTATTTCAGATGCTATCATAATATTAATTATAGTGGTATGTTTTGTGATCTGAATTACTAATACATCTACTTGGGTATTATCTGACTGATTAGGTGATAAGCATCATAAGATATTTGGTTTTTGATAATACAATGTCTTCTAAGGGGTTGTTAAATCAATAAGGCAGAACCTGCACGTAGTAATTGATACACATTTTTGCCTTTGAAGACAATTTTTTCAACTCTTAAATGTTTACCAATGCTTTTTTGCAGTCTTTGAATGCACTTTTAATACTCGTTATTCATGCTGACCTATTAACTTTGGTATTGGACTACTGAATAAAATGTACTAATACTTATTCACATATATACCATTCTAATCTTTATGAAATCTATCTATCTCTCAGCCAACGAAATGTATTTTTTATTTAGGTCACTTGTAATTGCCGTAGATCGACTTTCTCATTAGGCTCCTTGATTGGCTCATGATATCAGTCGTGAGCTATTAATCCAATTTAGTTTCGGTAGATAATTATTGATTTTTCCTGTTTTTTTCCTAGTTTTGAGATCAAAAGTTATTCCGGATGGCATTGCTTGTTACTGTATTCGTGCAATGGAAGACCAACGTCCTATGTATCCGGCACTTAATGATCATGTTCAACCTTCATGGTTTTCAGAAGTGAGATACATACATATATATATGTCATTAACCAATTCAGAATTGGATTTATTTATCTTTTCATTCTTGAATATTTCCTGAAAGTCGATAGTCTATGGTCATCTCTGTACTTTTGTGTCAATTAATGTTCACCTATTAAATATCGCAACTCCACCGGGTGTTCTAGGGTTACTGCCAGCCACGATCCCGAATAAAGAAAGCGAGTTAATCATGGGGTTGGCAAATTCATATGGTAGAAGATAAGTTTGCTAAAAAAATGCTAACTACAAAAAATTGCTAAAAATATTTAAGCTATTCCCAAAGAGTCGAAGGTTCTTCACGCAGAAAAGTTGTGATGCCTCCTGGTGAAAATTAAGATTCTTCGAAAGTCATAATTCCGATGTCCCTTCGTACAACCAAAGCAACAATTCTTATGGATAATGGATTGTCCACAGAATGTGGGAGACCGGAGTACCATTCGAGTGGCGGCGTAAATAAGGAGATGCAACTTAACGGTACACAAAATTAGTGGATGAAAATGATTGATTTCGGGAGAGGTCACGTTTTATGCAGGACATAAATAAATTACCTTGCTGCACCAGAAGTTGCACTAATGTTATTCAAAGAAGCGCGAAAAACGCATGTCGGATGGGAATTTCATGGATCCAAAATCACCAAAATATCCTTCAAAACAAAGAAGGAGGGTATTGAATATGAAAAGGAGAATTCAGCGAAGAAAATTTTTCTTTTCGACGAAATCATTTACTTAAGCTGTACATTCGTATATATAGTTATATGGAAAATGTATGTCTATAGAAGGATAGAAAGGATTGTATCACAAAAAATGGATTCGACAATAAATAACTTGCTCATGTGGGGCATGTTACATAGGCCACACAAAGCGATCATTATCCAAACGCATCTCGGAACATTATCCGACCTGGCTCTTGAAAGGGGAACGAAAAACAATCACTAGTTCGATACAGGAGCACTTAATCAACTGTGGACATAACGCTCCAAAAGACTCTTCGTTTAAGATAGTTTACAGAGTCAAAGGAACTGGATCGAAGGGGGGTTCGAATAAATATTTTATGCATCGCAGAGGCATTGGCGATCCACAAACTAAAGCCTGAACTTTGCGTGCACAAATGATTTGTTCAACCTCTCATCCTTCCCTGGCCCTAATTCCCTTAATGGGTATGTTTCTAGGTGTTTTTTCTGCATTTTTATTATCTATATTTTTAAATTACTATTTTGCACCTCAAACTCTAATCATTTATTATTATTACCTTTTACAAGTTTTCTTGATTATTATTCAGTCTATTATTATGACCTTTGTTGTTTTGTCGTTTTTCCTTCATATCTATCAATTGGACTATTATCTGACCCATAAATTTTGTTCTTCCTTACCGCTTGATTAGTACGGTAACCTCATTTGTTATTTATTGTCGAATCCTTTCTATCCTTCTATAGACATACATTTTCCATATAACTATATATACGAATGTACAGCTTAAGTAAATGATTTCGTCGAAAAGGAAAAATTTCCTCGCTGAATTTTCTTTTTCTTATTCAATGACACTATGGGTTATTTTAATTATATGAAAAGGAGGGTATTATAATGAGCGTTATCCTGTGTTATGAACCAACCAATGATAACAACGACGACGATGAATATCAGTTCTACGAGAGGCTGCAATCAATCATAGTGAAGTGCCCAAGATAGGATCTCACCATCTTGAGAGAACTGAACGCCAAATTCGGAATGGACAACACCGAGTATCCAGATATCATGGGACGACATGGACCTCTATGGAAACCCTGAACAAGACCCGAGAAAGGAAGAACAAGAAAACAGGAACTGACAACGGCCAAACGAGAACTGAGAAAGTCAAGGCACAGATATCCTGACCCTTATATCCCATGCACACCAACAAATGCAGATGAAGACGACCAGTGTAGCAGCTGCAGCCTCTAAATCAGTAGGCCTCAACATGCACAAGGGAAAACGTTATATCCTCAAATACAACACGAATAGGACCAACCCAATCACACTTGATGGGGACTCTGGAACACGTGGAAAAATTCATATACCTAGTCAGCATCATCAATAAACAACGAAGAGAGGATTGGCAGCCAACAACATATGGAACTCATAACCACTGTCAACTAATATCAAAGTCAGAATCTTCAACGCGAGCACTGAGATAGTTCTACTGTACAGAGCTGAAACTTCAACCTAAAACCTTCAGGACTAGCGAAAATTATGTAACACTGATACCATTCAGTTACCATCCAAATAGTTCATATATTTTAGACTTCAATCGGCTTGTATATTTTCCGGTAGAAATTTTTATTTTTAAAAGTTATTAGTCTTGAATGTTTCTACTTGTTACCACTAATTATTTTTTAAAGTAAGTTACTGTTTAATAATTTATCTGAATAGATCTTTTTTCTCTCTCACTGAACTCATAATTTCATTGAAACTCATTTATCTCCATGACCCCCATACTAATAAATATTTCTTAATGCTTTACAGTTACTACTTCGTCGTTTACGTAAATTCGACCATTCAAAAATATTGAAAAATCTTCATTGGATAACTAAAAGTTTCTGTATGTGAAAATATTAATTTTTATTATCTATTAATTGATTATTTTTGAATTTTAATTGATAAAACCCGATACCTTTGATTAATATTAATCCATAATGTCTATGGCCTGTAGCTCTTCAAGCCCGGGTAAAGGAGCAGAGTTGGGTATGGGGTTAGCGACCCCATTCCGTAGAAAACTAACTCTCTAGAAAAACGCTAACCAGAAAATAATGTTTACCACTTTGGAGGGAATTTAGTATCCACTTACTCTTTGAGGAAAATTCATAATTGTTTTGTTTATTTTTTATAACACACAAATATAAGTAGCTATTTGTAGAATAAAACAATAGAACCAAAATCTAATAGTTATGGTCAATCAAAGTTATCTGTATAATTTGTTCTGTTTGGTTTTTTAAATTTTCTATAAAGAATAAAATCGTCATTATTAGGCAGTTTTTTGTTGATCTTAAACATCACCATCTTTTAACTGTATCAGTCAATGATTGTTGTATCTACTACGATAGACTCATCTCTGTCTGATGTAGTTTTATTCAAATAGTTGCTCATGAGAAAGATAGACCCTAGCACATATGTCCATCCTTTAAATTTCCCCACAACGTATCAACACAGTGAGATGAAATTATCAAAACAAATATCAGAGTAATTTCATCATTTTGAAAAGAGCAAGAGAAAAAATTCTAAGAGAATAGAATGAATTCATTTTATTTCATTGGTTCTCATCAGCTGCTTACAACCTATGATATTTAAAACATAATTACAAAATGGGTTTAAATTACTTACATGAAAGAGATTAGTTGGAAGTTTTGTTGAAGACCCATTAATATAATATAGCAAGGGTGTAAATAAATTTAATAGACTGAATATTGTAAATAAATACCATATGTTAAGAAAAATTCTATAACATTGATTATGACAATAGTTCAAACGGCCATGGCCGTTGTGATCAACGATCATCGACTTAATGAAATAATGCTACATTCAAGCTTGGTCGTCCTTACCGTTCATCTGACTTACTTCGGTATCGGAATAAGTCATGAATCGAAGGAAGTGGGTTGGTTGGGTATAATTATACATGTTCTTAATAATTTGCCATTTCATTTAATTGATTTCAAATATGAAAATCCCCTCTTTAGTTATTTCTCATCCCCATGATTTCGTTCAGAATTGTTTCTGATATTACTTCATTCACTTTAATTCTTCTAAAACCTTTAGTTGTTATAGCGAAAAATATTTTAATGATCTTATTCCATTCACACCCCCTTTTGTTTGAAACACATCCGGTTAAAGTTGTACAATTTTTGTTGTTATTTGTCCTATAACCTAGTATTATGATCTCGATACTGCATCATTGTATGTGTTAGATTTATCGAAGCATCCAAGTCACCCGATTGAGATACGCGCAAAACCGAAGTTTCCAAAACAACGATTTGTCTACAACAGCGGTTCTTTACTGAATAATAAACAAAATTTAGTTACAAACCTCAACTTGTGAGGTGTCTGGGGCGTTTAAACGCGTCCTTCAAGTATGAAAATAAAAAGGCTTCGATAGTACAAAGGACAGCTGATAGCTGTGTCTAAATTTGATAACAGTTTACGAACAACCGAAACCCGAACCAAGAGCAAACAATATGGAAACTGTTGCGTTTAAACAAATGCACAAAACTGTAGATACCCGTTACAGTGATTAAGATACAGTAATTATAACGATAAATACAATGATAAGTACAATAAACGTTATAAGTGTATGTTAAGATTTCAGAATATTACAGTACAACTTGCGTTGGGAATACAACTGCTTACTGAATATAAATAAGTAGTATAAGGCAATATACAAAATAGTAGAAAAGGAACGAGTAGGAACAATGTACGACCAACTTAACAATATGTATTCATTGTGTTTATATTTTACCACGGAACTATATATATATATATACTTTCCCGACCATATCTGTTACCTCGACGTGTTTCTCGAGGATCGTAATGATTCAGTCGTGTCGTGTTGGCTGAACCATTTTATCTGTAGGTCCTACCGTCCCAGTCCTCTCGGTTAGAGAACCGTAAGACAAAGAGCAACAAACTCATGATCCGAAATTGAAGTTTTGCTGCTGGCTGCACCGAAGTGTGACGGCGATCGTGAGGTTAGAGGACGAGCACTAGCTATAGATGACGAATCGATTGATGGTTTGGTAAGTTTTTATCTACTGAGGTGGTTGGGACATGTATTACTTGTGTCCAACCATTGACTACCTTGACAGACTGGTGTATGAGTAAGTTGAAAGAAAGCTAGGGGAGGTCAGACCAAAATATGGCATTACTCCATGATCTAATTGACTGTTGACCTGAGTCATGTTGGTAGATTGTCTTGGGTCCACTCAATAACTTCTATCAATTGCTGGAGACTGGTTGAAATCTCACAGTTCGCAATAGCACAGCTGTATTCACTCTTTGTTTCCTCTCAGATCCTAAGTATCTAAGTTCTTCATATTCTATTATTTTTTATTTGAACACATTAATATTGGTACAAAGGAGTGCCAAATACATATACGCCACATAAACTTTAATTGTTTCAGTGTCTTATATTGGTCCAAATAAAGGAACCTAGTATTAAACATCATGTTCTTGTATTTGGCTTGGAACCAAATTCAAGGGATCTAACGAGTCTTGTCGAATTATGTTTTCACAAAATATAATATTTTTTCTGTAACTGTAGTCATTTTAAAATCTATGTTATTTACGTTATTATATGGCAATTATGTTATATCCATTTTTGCTCTTCTTATCTTAGGCAAGTCTAATTCTGCTGATATTGTATATTCATTACAACAAAAAGCGATTGAACATGGTTTTATGTTATTACCTGAAACAATTAAATCAATAATTATCACACCTTATTTTGTTCGAGGTAATCTATTAGAACATCGTCATTTATGTTTTAGAAATCATGAATTGACAAGTCACTATCCTGTTAATTTGAACAGTGATGATAATAAAAATGCATTTAAACAATTCGATTCAATTATTAAAATCTCATCGACTTCAAGTACTGAAGAAATAGTTGATAGGACCGTGAATTGGTTAGTAAAACATATTCCGTGTCATTTATTCAAAACACCAATTGATTCGCTGACTTTTGATATACCGACTTGGTTAATTATTTGTCAACGATTGTTACAAGACGGTTCAACGTTTAGTGAATCTATTAACTGGATGAGTTTAGCTTTGAAATGGCTTGAACAAACAAGTAATGAGCCTAATTACTTGGATTGTTTCAAAGATTGGTTCAAGTATGCACCAAATAACAGTACTTCTACAGCATTATTGATTGCTGGTCTTATTCATCCCAAGTAGGTAGTATATTTCTTTTGTACAAACCAATAAATACTATCAAAATTTAATCTCTTTGGTGTGTTCATTTTATGTTTCTTGTGAAGAATAGGTAAATCATATTGTCTGTGGTTTCGAAAGTGAAAATATCAGTGTACGACAAACACACTTATGTATCTTTATGAAAGAGATCTGAATACTAGATGAATACGTCTCAGTCACATATGTACCTAAAACATTCTGCTTACTAAAATGTATTTCTAGCATTTAGCAGTATTTAGCATGCCTAGCGAAATCTGTGAATATATATATATATATATATATATATATATATGTATATCAGCCAGTAAGCTCGAACATAGGACCATGCACATATATGCATCGGTCCAAGTTGCCACACCTCATTAACACAATAAGGTGAACACCGGATTCATAGAAGTAGTTAATTCAATGGTGATAATATATAAAAGAAAGATCGCATATAAGGATATAGTACAGAAACGAAGGCTTAGTTCGTAGAAAGGAAGATATAAAACAGTTTTAACCGCATAGTTTAAAGGAAGACAAAGAGCGTATACACCTACGCCATTGTGATCGATTCTGAGCCATGTCACCAAGAGTCTCCAACCATTGGTTACAATAGTCATGTAGTCTGCATCTACCAACATGGCTCAGACCAGAAGTTAGTAACTTCAAGCACTGATGCCACATTTTGGTTTGGCCGCCCCTAAATTTCTTCCAACCATCCACAACACTAGTCAGCATTGCGTATCGTGGTAATCAGTGTTCAGGCATACGTAAGAACACGTGACCCGACCATCCCAGTCGATGATATAATATATATATATATATATATATATATATATATATATATATATATATATATATATATATATATATATATATATATATATATATATACTGTTCGATAAAATTTAGATGAAAGTTCTTCAATAAATATTCATTTCAAGACGACACTTGGCACTAATAAATTAGTAATACTAATCTAGCCCCCTGATAACGGTTCATTTATGAAATATCGAACCAAATTTATAAATAAGTTTGAAATTATTCACCTAATAATTTTACATGGTAAATTTTTATGTTCTTATAAATGATTAATTCGATTAACTAAAGCAATAAATAATTGAACTTAGTACAGATACTTGAAAATCGTCGAATCGAATTAGTTTCAAATAAATTGAGCGTTGGGTAGATCAACAACCTGATTGTTTATTTACTCTGAAGAAGTGGCATACATTAGGTCAAAATCATCAAAAATACAATTTTCCTACTCACTCTATATTGTCAAAGAAGCTTGCATAAGGTTCTCCTATCCACAGGGCCAAAAGTTATCTCGCTGTCAAGGAAGTGGATGTATAGTGACGAGTTTCGTTTAAGTGACTGCTCAGCAATGATACTTAATGTGACTATTTAGTCCAGACTGTTGATTTCGAAGTTGGAGTCCACTGAATCTTTCATTCGGTTCATTAACACTGTTGAAAAACGTTTCCTGATACGGATGGTAGTATGATACCTCTGGAGTTCTCAAATTTGCTCAGATATCCTTTATTTATTAGCTCGATTACGTATCGTTCTTTCCAGTTTCTCTGTCAGTGACATTTGTTCCACCTCAACTTCGCAATTATAGATTGCAGCCTCTCTTGAAAATGATCTTCATCGTTGTCTTTGCTATTATTGGTTAGTGCGTAACTTGGGATAAAATCCATTTTTATTTACTCCTTTGTTTGTGGAGCATTTTCCTGGTCGTGACCGGATAACAGTAGCATCTCTCCCGAATCTATCCTCTTCTGTTCAGGTTGAGTTCAGTGGGTTCCACTGATCCTAAGCACCGTCAAGTTGTTTCTCCTTATTTCCGTAGCTTTTTGATTAGTCCTTTCTATCTCCCACATTGTCCGGACGTTCTGTGTACCCATAAAAATTGTTGCTCTGGTTGTTAGAAGGGATGTCGGCCTCGTGACTTCTAAAGAATCTCGTCTTTCACCATGATGCGTCATAATTCTTCTGAATGAAGATCCTTCAACTCCCAATGCAGACTTTAAATGGTTGAAATAGTTCATTCTGGTTAGTATTTTTCCAGTAAGTTTTTTTCTGCGGGATGGCGTTGCTGACCTGATGCCCAGGCCTACTCTTTTGTTCGAACTTGGGACCTGCAGTTACTTTAGAAGAACTACAGGCGTTGTTGTTTTGCTTACACATTTGCAAATGTTTTCTTTTGTAGGACCCGAGAATGGGCTTTATCGGTTCTGTCGGAGAGAAGCGATGCAATATACGATATTATTGTTTCTGATTCTCTTAATCACCTTTCTGGCGAAAATCAATGTTCTTGTAAGTCTCACCAATCGTAAAACTCTTTCAGTGTTTCTTTTAAAGCTCAATATCTGGTAGATGATTGAAACTATTTTTTAAATTTAGATTTCTATTTTTATATTTCAAATATTCATTATTGTTACTGAAAGTTGTAGGGACCATGGAATGAAATAACTCATGCTTTTTCACCTTCCAGTCACGACTCTAAGAAATGTCACTTTTATTGCAAGACCCTGGATTACTATTTGCCAGTAATTTTACGATATACGGAACTGTAGTTTGGCCATTCAAATTTCATTGCTTTGGTTGAGGACATGAAAGTTTCAAAGGATAATCGTTTACATTGACTGTTTCACAGTCGATTCGAATTTATCACTAAGTTGTTAGAATTTGTGATTACTCTTTCACATACTATTAATCGCAGTCAGATACATTAAGAAACAGTTAGTAACTTTATAAGGAAACATAAATGGTGGATAGGAGTGGAATCCAGGACACACGTTTCATCTTATTTTGAACCTGTCTGCTAGATGTACCTGTATCACTGAGATGATGTTCACTCCGGAAGTCGCGTCCTGGATTTCGCTGCTAGCCACTATCCATCTTTGCTTATAATGCTTTTGACTTAAGGGAATACTGTGGCAATCTGCACAGGATACACATATGCCAATAAGAGATTGATCAATTGCAATCCTAAACACCAATGGGAAGTTTCAAAAAACAATACAAAATGAAGTCATTAATTTTGTAGGATATAACTCAGATGGATATCAGTTCAATTTCTTACAACATCTAACTTTCATCCTCACAGGATACAACACGACGAAAAGTATCCACCTAAACTATAAAGTTACGTCATTTCATATTTGTAGAATGCATCTGTGACAATGATGAAATCTAGAAGTTGAAAAGTTTTCCCAATACTTTTCTATTTCTGATAATTTAAAAACCTTTACTATTATTTGATGTAGTAGCTGAAATTATCTCAGGATTTGGAAAAACAAATACATTGGCAGTTGCACGTCAATTATACAGAAATGGTTTTGACGCTCCCACTTTACAGGTAATTTCTATTTTCACCATATGTTATTTTAAATAATTCAAAATTTCCTTTGTACATATATCTTGTGATATAACCTCGTACACTCATGTTTGAATCCACAGTAATGATGCCTCGACTTAGCGACCTGATATGTTATTTCTTATTGACCCACAAAGAACTCTTCTGTTAACAAGTTTTAATCGAAACACGAGGAAAGATATCCGATGTTACCTTTCTATCTTTGATTCAAAAACCTAAATTTCAGGATAACAGAGTACCTTATATCTGAGATCATAAGCGCCTATCTATAACATTTACGGCACAAAGTCTGTAAAGGAGGTTTGTGATCAATTATTTGGAAACGGGTAAGCATATAACAACAGTCTATCATTCAAACGGAAGCTTACAGGCTAAAGATTATAGAAATCTCAAACTGAGTGTTTGATGAAATCCACGTTGAAAAGAAGCCTTATGATGTACATTCAGTGCGGCAAGATTGTGTCTTACTTTCTCCAGCCAAACAGTAGGGAGTTCACGAAATAAGGATAAATTGTCTAGTTCCTCAACCTCTATGTGTATTTACCTTTTCAGCTGCTCTCGCATAGTTAGTTATATTGGTCGCAAAACTAGGCAAATGAATCCTCGTATTTATGAACATTCACTTGTTATGGTTTATCAAAAGGTAGTTGATATTAGTCATCACACGACGGCTAGAGACGTTATCGGACGTGGCTCAAAATAGAAACCAGTGGCGATCCTGCTGTAACTTCTTCTTACTTCATAGAAATGAACGTAACTTCGTTAACTGAAAAAATTCTTCTTGATTGTATTTTTGTTAAATGGACTGTTTCTCCCACCAATGTTACTTGACTCCCATACATTAATTTCTGTTCGTTGTTGTTCTTTCCTTATACACACTTTACGTTCTCTATCTCTTCACAAATTCATTGGTATTGTGTGGCGCATATGTATTTAGTGCCCCCTTGTACCAATATCTATGTCTTCGAATAAATAATAAAAAAATAAATCACGTCGACCAAAAATCTAGCGTTTGTAGTTACCTATAAAATCTTACCGAACATACTCTATGGTTCCAAAATCAGACTCTTATATATACAACAGAAGCCATAGAAATATGTATCAAATAAACCTAACCTCTATATACAGCCTCTGAATTAACCCTGAGGTTTTAATTAGATACTATTAGGTTTTTCAAAGATTTTCTTTTAAAATTTTCCAGGCTTCGGTTTTGTTAATATTTTTATTTCTAATTCCTACTTTACGTAACCAGTTTAATGACCTTCTTACCTCACTTTCATTACACCCGCTTTACTAATGACTTATGATTAGTCTCACGGATAACACAAAACATAAATTTGTGATAATTAATTCATTATAAAAATCCACCTTAGTTTTACTTTTCCAAATGTGTAAGTAACTGATTATTATATTTTTAAACTAACGCATCAACACCTAATTATTATTGACTTCCTACTCACTTGTAAAACATACTAGTGTGGAGATTTAATGAAGAACCAATTGAAAACGGATATTTCTTAACTCGTGTTTTTTTAATGTCACAATGGGAGTGTTAAGTGAAAAAATATCTCTAAATAAAAATTATTCACTAGTTGTCTCTCAATAATATAGGATAGCTGTAATTTGTCGCTTTCTTTAGGATTGAACCCCACATAACTCATCTTCACAGTCTAAAACGCTTAATTGTTTACTGAAACTTGTCTCTCGTAGAGCATAGGTCTCCAGCCAGGATTCATCAATCACCTCTGCCCTGAACTCTCATTCCCAGTTGTTACCGAGTGCTGTTCATTCTTTTAATATATGCATCAAGTTACCAGTGGAATGTATTCTTCAGTTTGCCTCTTCTATTGTCTTAGGGATTCCAAAATAAGGCTTGGGATGTGATGTGGTTTGATGACTTTTGCAATGTACGGCCTATACACCTTCATTGACTTTTCCCGATTTCCCCTTCAGATGGAAACTGGTTTATCTTCTGCTAGAGTAGGATATTTCTAATGTTACCTGGTTAACGGATGTGAAGTATCTTGTTTAAACAGTTGTTTATAAATATCTGTACATGTTTGACGATGATTGTAGTAATTTCATAAGTTTCAGCTCTGTACAGTAGAACTAATACGCTACCACTGAGCTATTCGTAGAGTAACTAACGTCCTTTATAGTTTTCATCTGATTGGTACCTAATACTTTTATGGAGTTTCGTTCTCTGAGCTGGATGGTTTGGTCGTGGAGCTTTCATCGTTCTTGTGAACGACATCATCAGCACAAACTTCAGATAGAATACTTTTTAAAAAATTAAATTATGTCTATATCAATAACCTTTTATTAATAATAATTATTTCTTTTGTCTCACAGTATATTATTAGCAAATCGCCTGAAAATGAATACATAAATGAGCTTGTTCAATTGTCTGTAGCAAAGGTTAGTTAATGCTTACTCGTTTTTTTTACAAACTTCTCATGTGTCGGCAAAATTTACCAGTAAATTTGACAGAGTGATGATATTGCGTTAATTTGCTTTGTGTTTAATGAGTACTCTTACTTCGCTAACTAATATCAAAGTTGCTTTGTGGAATTTAATTTTCTAGAATAATAATTATGAGTATTTATCTTATATTTTCATAATTGCTTCTTTTAGTACTTTACAAAATCATATATTTTTGGTACCTATTCAGAGAACATATTTCTCATAATGCTCTTAGATACATCATATCAATAAGTGCATTTACCTACCGATTCTGTGATGTATTGGTCCATCAGTGACCAATATGCAAAACTTATAGCTATAGACTAATTACATTCTATACCAGGATGGTTAGTATGAAACTGATTCAGCACCCTTGATCGTAGAGATTTGGGCACCACCACTCTGCAAACATCACGCATTCGTTCATGTCGCATTACGAGTCCCGAAGATGGTAAAGTTGCTTCATATGACTATCAAAACCGGTAGATGGCCAACCGTTAGTGACGTAGTTCATCGTTTTCTTAATGATTAGGTCATTTCTGGAAGCAACTTGTATCTCTGATGCTGAAACTTGCAAAGAACGAACGGCAGTCCTCAGGTAGTATTCTGCGTTGTCTTCTGTCGAAAGCGAGGCGATAACCATGTCTTCCTCTGCCACAGCGTGTTCACTGATAAACCGCGGCAAAGCATCTGCCTAACCAAAGTATTCGGTGCATCGGTATTAAATGTTGAAGTCAACCCAATAGTACCAAGGCCCAACTCTGGAGACGATTTGCGGAATGGGCTGGAGTGCCAGCAGAGGGTTGTGATGTATTAGAAAAGTAAGTCTTCAGTCGTATAAGAACAGTTAAATTAAGTACAACTGCCTCTTTCTTCATCTGGTTTTTCTTCTTTTCCTCTGAAGTTAACATGCGGGATACATGCGTGATAGCTTTTTCTGTGGTACCTGGAAATCGATGTAAGATGACAGCATCAGGTCCAAAAATTGAAGCATCCACAGCCACGATGATTGACATGGATGGATCGTAGTGCGGTAGTAATAATTCCTAAATAATAGTAGTTTTAAGTTTACGAAAAGCTACCTCACCTTATTTTGTGCGATTTCAAGTTCTTTACTTATTCAGCAGATATTTCGGTTCTCGAATGACATGCATCGACGGAACAAAGGCTGAGTAATAGCTAATTAATCCCGCAAAGGATCGTAGGGAAGAGACGGTGGGAGTAGGCATCGATTGTATAGTTCGGATATTTTCGGGATCTAGTCAGCATCAAAGAAGAATCCCAAATACTTTACCGATTTAAAAAACGACACTTTTCTGAGCGTAACCGGAAATCATTATCGCTGACGCGTTTTAGAACAACCGTCCTACGTTCCTGTAGCTGTTCTAACTAAGTGGCAACAATTAAGATAGGTTGTGACCCACAGAATACCCGATAGGATGGTATCCCTAAGTTGTTGGAAAATAGATGGGGTGGTCTGAGCTCCAAATGGTAGACGATTATACTGAAACAAACCACATTGAGTCTTAATGGTCAGTTGTTCCCTTAATTCTTCAGCTGCTTCCACGCATCAGCAAGATCCAGTTTTGCGAAGAACTTCCCACCGTTTATCATAGTGAACGAATCTGCGCGAACTAGCAGCGGGTAATGATACCATTCTAGAACTGCGTTGAGACCTGTAGAGACATCTGCGCATATCCGTGTTGTGCCATTAGCCTTCTTGATAACCTCAATAAATGCTGCCAAAACAGAATGAAAAACAAGTGTGATAATTCCTTGTAGATGAAGGCGATTGAGTTTTTCATGGTAATGCTGCATATGACAGTGGTCTCTTTGGACTGAAAAATAGTTTTAGCCTCTGGCTTCAACCGAAGGGTTGGTTCCATAGCAGAGCACCGACTCAACGCAGACTGGAAGATGATTGAACACTGTGCCATACTTCAGGGGCTTGTCTTATCGGATGTCCTACGGTACTTAACGAGACATCAGCTAGCTGCAGCTTGTCGAACCAACCTAAAACAGGTAAATTTAGATCAGCTGGCGCTACGTAACATACCCCAGTGAACGGCGATTCTGATGTTGTAGCTATTTGCAACCTAAATGAATTTCTTCTCATCTAGTGTTGTGCTCTGATAGGATTCTAATAGGTTCAACGAATTTGTGCAGGGTTTGGAAACAGACTGTTTAATACTTGTGGACTGATTTGGTATCCTCGTTTACCAGGATCCATCTCTGTAACCAATGGATTTACATCTCTTGCAACGATGATGTTTAAATGGACAGGTTCGTACGAAATGCCATATACCGCAGTGCCAGTACGGAGCTGGAGTATTGTTCATCTATTGGACTGAGCTCGAGTGAGATGAACTAGGGATATTAGGTGTGGATTTAGCTGTTATAGATATCAAACATCTTTCGGACTACAGCAGCACAGTTTTCTTATTCTTAGCATAAACAATTATTTGTTTATTATCTTCGCTTACTTATATTTTATTGCTGTTACATTATACTGTTTTTTTCTGTATTATTTAGACTAGTTGGATTACTCCAATGCTTGATTTCATATCGGAACACTACCCTGATAAAAAGTTAACGTTTTATAACAACCTATTAACAGTGTTGAGTAAGTTTACTCTTTTCCAATGTTTTATTCGATGTTTTCCTTAATGATTCGAAAGTAGCTTACTATTTTATACTTTTATTCAAATCTTATCTGGTTTATATAATGTTCTTGGAATTCTAGCATAATGTATTTCGCAATTATGATTGGTATTGATTATTGATACACAGGATATAACATATTTTTGCCAATCAGTAATCACAACAACTGTATATTGTATAAAGTTGACAGTATTAGTTTGTTTAATAAAATCTAGTAGTTGGGTAGTGCACTTTGTTCTTTACTACTTTAGACTTTCGAATGTAATTGGATGACTTTATTTGATTCACACTACTTATTATGACAAAAACAAGCATGCTATAATTGTCTATTTTTTTTCTTCTTAATACTAGGAACAAGAGCAGATTCTCGAGATACCTTGATTTTGGTTTCCAAACTTCCTCATGATTCAATATCACAGTTAGATCCTATTAATAGATGGTTCTTAGATGCAATTTCAAAATTGATTATCTTTTCTAAAGTGGTAGGTTTTTGTTTATCGAAAAAATACATAACAACTGTTCATCTCTCTTCTTAAAATTTTGTTCTTAGTTGTTGAGTCTATTCAGTGTAACGGTTTAAAATGATATGGTCAACCGAGTCCTTTCTTTAGATAGTAAATCTGTTATTCGTTAGCAGTTGATGGTTGCTTTTTCTTTAATGATGCGCCTTTAGAAATATTAAAAAAGTTTGTGTGTAAGTAACTTTGTGAGAGCCAGTTACAGTGTTGCGGATCCATTCAAGTGTAGAATAAGTCACCTTTGAAGCTTTCTTGGCTTTCACTTTGCAACATAGAGTTGTAAAATAAAATAGTTCTATATTTTCCTAACATCTGTCAGGCCACCATGACTTCTTGTTTGGGATCATAGAGGTTGTCCAACAGCAAAGGCTCGAGATGTCTTCAGATACAACTTAGTGATTTTACAGCTGTTTTTTTCAGCTCGATTCCTTGTCACCAAGTTAGTTATACTTCTAAACTGAACGAAATCGACCAACACTGTTTTTAACCTGAATTTTATCTTTTAATTTGTAATTTTCCTATTTATTTACCCATTGATTGTATGATCTTCCCACTTCTTTATTCATAATATTGTCATCTCTTTTTGTATAGCACAATTGTACTGCCCTATTGTACCGAGTTTTTTTTGTTGTAGTTGAATGAATTCCGAGTAATTTGGTAGCTTACATTGTGCCTAATTGAAGAAGACAAGCAGATTATCTGATTTCGATCCATGTGATTATTGTAACTGATGATCGAAAACGATAGATAACATGGTTCAAAATCTTTTACAAATGGCACACGTACATTCACTCTTTTCTCCGCCTGAAGTCCCTCTGGGGGCTACTGCCGGTCCCGAGCCCGGATAAAGGAGGAGGGTTGGGCATGGGGTTAGCGTCCCTATAGCGACTCACGTGCAATTGAGTTTATTCTCATCTAACTCAGTTAAGCCTTTTTGTTAACTTATTTAACGGACAAAGTCGTCCGCACTATAACAACTTATTGTACCCTTATTATTTTGTGCTTGTATGAAATACGTATGCTTGAATATTGCTTACGGCCTATGCATTTATTCACTCTGCTAGTCTTACTACTAACTGATTATTTGATTCGATTACTCATTCATTTCACATGGTATATATATGTCCATGTTATTCATACTCACTCACTCACACACTCTCGTCTCGCTCTTGCTATGGCTCTCGCTCGCTTGCTTTCCTTTCGGCACAACTGTTCTATGCTTGTTTAACGCATCTGTACATTTGGATATATGTGTGTGGTCTCGCAATAAACGTAATCAAGACTTCGTATTTGCCTTCTGATTAATATACCGTTGGCACGTTATATAGAACGGTTATCAAGACGAACTGTGTACGAAGTTTAAGGATTATATCGAATACCGACCACCACATCCCCATCCCGTAGGAAACTAACTCGCTAGAAATACGCTAACCAGAAAAAATTATTCAAACCTTTTAAACTCTGCCTTGGGAGTCAGAAGATCTTCATTTAGAAGAAATATGACGCCTCATGATGAAAGCCGAATTCCTTCGGAAGTTACGAGGCTGATTCCCCTTCTGACAACAAGAGAAACCATTTATTTAGGTACATGGAATGTTCGTTCAATGTGGGACACCGGGAGAGCCTTCCAAATTGCTGCAGAAATGAGGAGATACAACTTAGAGGTGCTTGGGATCAGTGAAACATATTGGACGCAAGTTGGACAACAACGACTAGCTTCAGGGGAACTTCTGTTATACTCCGGCCATGAAAAAGAAAATGCTCCACATACACAAGGAGTTGCATTGATACTGTCCAAAAGAGCACAAAAGGCACTTATGGGATGGGAATCTCATGGACCAAGGATCATCAAAGCCTCATTCAAAACAAAGAAAGAGGGCATTTCAATGAACATCATCCAATGCTATGCGCCTACCAACGACTACAATGAAGACGCTAAAGATCAATTCTACAATAGGCTGCAGTCAATCATCGAGAAGTGCCCAACAAAGGACCTGACCATTCTGATGGGCGATTTCAATGACAAGGTTGGAACGGACAACACTGGATATGAAGACATCATGGGACGGCACGGACTGGGAGAAAGAAACGAAAATGGTGAGAGATTTGCAAACCTATGTGCCTTCAATAAACTGGTCATAGGCGGCACCATATTCCCACATAAACGCATACACAAAACCACATGGACTTCACTGGATCACACCACGCAAAACCAAATCGACCATATTTGCATCAACAAAACGTTCAGGAGGACTATGGAGGACGTGAGAAACAAGAGAGGAGCTGATATAGCTTCAGATCATCACTTACTGGTCGCCAAGATGAAATTGAAACTCAAGAAGCACTGGACAACGGGGCAGACAGTGTCACAAAAGTTCAATACGGCCTTTCTCCAGGAAACTAACAAACTCAACAAATTCAAGATAGTCCTCAGCAAGAAGTTCCAGGCCTTTCATGATCTACTCAATGGAGAAGGAACTACTGTGGAGAGCAACTGGAAGGGGATCATAGAGGCAATCACTTCAACATGTCATGAGGTCCTGGGTCACAATAAGCACCACCACAAGGAATGGATCACTGTTGGTACACTGGATAAGATTCTAGAAAGGAGGAACAAGAAGGCAGCGATCAATACCAGCCGAACAAGAGCAGAAAAAGCCAAGGCACAAGCTGAATACACGGAAATAAACAAACAAGTGAAGAGGAGCATCAGAACCGACAAACGTAAATATGTGAAAGATTTAGCAATGACTGCGGAAAAGGCTGCAAGAGAAGGAAACATGAGACAATTGTATGACACGACAAAGAAACTCTCTGGAAATCGCCACAAACCAGAACGACCAGTGAAAAGCAAGGAAGGCAAGGTAATCACCAACATTGAAGAGCAACAAAACAGGTGGGTAGAACACTTCAAAGAACTCTTGAATCGACCAGCTCCACTGAACCCACCCAACATCGAAGCAGCACCCACGGACCTCCCAATCAATGTTGGCCGACCAACAATTGAAGAAATCAGTATGGCCATCAAACAAATCAAGAGTGGCAAATCAGCAGGACCGGACAACATCCCAGCAGAGGCACTAAAAGCAGACGTAGCGGCAAGTGCAAGGATACTCCACATTCTCTTCAATAAGATTTGGGATGAGGAACAAGTACCAACAGACTGGAAAGAAGGACTCCTGATCAAAATATTGAAGAAAGGCGATCACAGCAAGTGTGATAACTACAGGGGCATCACTCTTCTCTCAATACCGGGCAAAGTCTTCAACGGGCTATTGTTAAACAGGATGAAGGACTGCGTAGACGCCCATCTTCGTGGCCAGCAGGCAGGATTCCGTAAGGATAGATCGTGTACAGACCAAATCGCAACTCTACGGATCATTGTGGAACAATCAATTGAATGGAATTCATCACTCTACATCAACTTCATTGACTACGAGAAGGCATTTGATAGCGTGGACAGAACAACACTATGGAAACTTCTTCGACACTACGGCGTGCCTCAGAAGATAGTCAATATCATACAGAGTTCATATGATGGATTACACTGCAAAATCATGCATGAAGGACAGTTGACAAAGTCGTTCGAAGTAAAGACCGGTGTCAGGCAAAGTTGCTTACTCTCACCCTTTCTCTTTCTCCTGGTGATAGACTGGATCATGAAGACATCAACATCTGAAGGGAAACACGGAATACAGTGGACATCTAGGATGCAGTTGGACGATCTAGACTTCGCAGACGATCTGGCCCTTCTATCCCAAACGCAACAACAAATGCAGGAGAAGACGAACAGTGTGGCAGCAGCCTCAGCAGCAGTAGGTTTCAATATACACAAAGGGAAAAGCAAGGTTCTCCGATACAACACAGCATGCACCAATCCAGTCACAATTGACGGAGAAGATTTGGAAGATGTAAAAACCTTTACATATCTGGGCAGCATCATTGACGAACAGGGTGGATCTGATGCGGATGTGAAAGTGTGGATCGAAAAAACAAGAGCAGCACATCTACAACTGAAGGACATCTGGAAATCAAAGCAACGCTCAACAAACACCAAAGTCACAATTTTCAATACAAATGTCAAGACAGTTCTACTGTATGGAGCAGAAACCTGGAGAACTACGAAATCCATCATCCATAAGATACAAGTGTTTATTAACAATTGTCTAGGCAAAATACTTCAGATCCATTGGCCGGACACTATTAGCAACAAGGAGAGAGAACAAACCAGATCTCAGTGGAGAAAGAAATCAGGAAGAAGCGCTGGAAGTGGTTTGGACACCCATCGAGGCAAGCACCCAACTGTGTCTCAAGACAAGCCCTCACATGGAATCCTCAAAGCCAAAGGAAAAGAGGAAGACCAAAGAACACATTACTTTGAGAAATGGAAATAGACACGAGAAAAATCAACAAGAATCGGATAGAGCTAGAAAAGAATGTCCAGGACAGAGTGTGTTGGAGAATGCTGGTCAGCGGCCTATGCTCCATTGGGAGTAACAGGCATAAGTAAGAGTCGTGAATTGTCCTTATACATGTTTTAGTCATATACAACTTCCGATTGTGTTACTGCTTCTACTATTCTGGAATTTGCTTTGATAATTTTATTTTGGTGTGTTTACATGATGCGGCAACCTGAACCAATGTACATATCAGTCAGGTTCTATATTGCACGTGATAAAGACTAAATGGATTGTGAATACATAGCTTTCGAGGAATATATTCTGAAAACCTTGTCAATCTCCTTCCAGTCCATTCTGTTAACTTTCTGTCTGAGGTAATATATGAATTCAGAAATTCATTTATTCGAAAATGACTAATATTAATGTAATCGAGTTTACATTTATTTTCTTTGAATTATATTAAATTAACGTTTCTATGGATTTTGTCTCCATTCTTCTTTTATCTCATTATTTCTTTCTTCATTTCTTTATATAGTTATCTAATTTTGATTATATTAAGTACACCAACTAGACACTATTACATTATTTTACATTCTAATTTAATCAATGAATATCATATCATTTTTTTTAATTTTAATTTTTGCTTTCAGTCTCAGAAACTATTGTTCAGTGATTTGAACTCTGTTTTATCAAATACTGGGTTATCATCAAATTTAGTTGTCTATGATCTTTGTGCAGCGATCAATAGTTCGAAATATCAAACCCTTATTGAATCATTGAAAAGGTTGGTAACTGGCATATTTTCCAGTCTATATTCCGTTTTCATTTAACAGAATTGTAAAAAATTGATTAGTGCTACAACACTATTCAAATTTTGTTTAAATATATCTTTATTACATGGATTCTCAGATTAATTTATCTTACGTTAGTTCTAGACCCTTAGTTTAACAGGTTGTTGGGTGAATTGTTTTTAAAATAAACCAGTTTAGCTTGTTGAGGTTAGTCGAAGGAGGATTATTAAGTTAGGTTTTGACTTAGCTGTCACTCGTCTGCAAGACGTACGTACCTGTTATCTTGAAGTTATTAGTGCTTCCTGTTAGATTGGAATCCGTGTCAACCAATTTGATAGCCTGAGATGTTGCAAATGAGCTATTCGAACCGTGACTGGTGAGTGCTAACTAACACGAAACACAGGCTGAGTTTCTTGCTGAGTACCTTCGATCACGTAACATCGAAAAATAGTGGATGAAATGTCGAGTCACTCAGGCTAGCATTGAGGTTGCAACTTGATCGATAGAATTCAATAAAACATCGGGAAAGATTAAACCTACTCAACAAAGTTAATAGATAGTTATAAAATGTTAGCTTCTTATCAAGATAGTGTTCTGATATAAAACCAAATATTGGAATAAACTATCTATTTAGTTCAATTGTTTATGACTTCAAAAGTTAACCCAACGAATGAATTACTTTACTCTGTTTTCCAAAGTCTATTCTAGTAAGTTTTTGTATTGAATTTAAAACGACCGATTGTGCAATAACTTTTTTGTCTGTAATTTAATCGATATTTTCCTTTTTTTGTATCTATATTTCACAGTATTATGGATGAAAAGTCATTGGATATTGTCGTATCGTTTGTAATATACTTTATACTGATCAATAAGGGCGTTACTGGTAGGGAGTTATATAAAATAAACACTTTTTTATGTTTTCGATATATTTACTTACTAAAACGCGTTGCCCTTCGTAGATCATAGGTCGCCAACCAGGATTGATCAACCACCTCTGCTTTGGGCTTTTGTTCCCAGCTATAAGAATGGTTCTTTGGTCTTCTGTTTTTCTCCTGTAATCCTCTTTTTCACTTGTTTGTTTGCCTTTGTGTATTTCGACCTGAACCGTGACGTTGTCTGCTATTGCTTAATACACAGACGTAAGAACTTATAGCCGATTCAATATAAAACGTGTTCATAGAAGATGAGTTACACATATATTTTGGTATTTATTTCTGTCTCAGTTATTAGATTTTCACTCTCTGTTCCTTCACTTGCCGCTCATTGCAATTGATGTGGTGCTTTTCTTTGTGTAATTATTTTGCTTGCATTACAGACAAAAATATCAAATAATGGTACAGTCTCATCCAAAAAAACTATTCCAATCACATCAAACCGTCATATATCTGCGGCATTGGTGTAGAGCTCTTCTGGGGTTACTGTCAGTCACAAGCCCGCCTAAAGGAAGTAGGTTAAAAGCTCCATCCCTTCGAAAAAACCTGATAAAAAATCACTAGCCATAAAAAATTTATTAAAACTATTTAAACTACCGTAAGAGTTGAAGGGTCTTCATGCTGAAATAAATAGATACAACTTGGCGGTGCTCTGAATCACTATGACCCATTGTTGTATTCAAGTTAGACAGAAAATATTGGCTTCAGGAGAAGTACCGTTCTATACTGTTCATAGAATAATTGTCTTACACACAAGGAGTTGCATATTTTACTTGGAGGCTAAAATGTAAATGAATACTTCAGACAGATACACTGCTTTGTATGGATTGATGTAAATTTATAAACCGTGATATAGCCAACTAAGTTTAATGTAATAATGATAATGAGGGACTTCTGTTACGAATTTCAGTAATTCGACGATTCATTATGGATAAAATTATACTTTGCAATTAAATCGCTTTACGAATAAATAAATAAATATACTACTGATCATTATTCTAGCCTTTTAACTATTTCCTTCTTCTTGTTCTTTTTTTTTAAAAAGATTTATATCAACTACTTCATTTTACATCTCATACTCATGAAAAGAAGATATTATTTCTGTTTTGTAAATATTCTCAACCATTCATAAAATATAATCTAAAGTATTGCATCCTTTCACAAGGACAACACTATAAGTAAGAAAATCAATTCATTGTTTTAATATTCTTTTTTTGAATTGAATTTGTAAGATTATACTTATAACAATTCGAAGTTTATCATTTATTGATAGAATGTTATTCAATTGCCTGTCAACAGGTTAGAAATCATTAATCAGCTTCTTTTGATTTTAATAGTTAATTCTGTCATTAAATGGTGTAACAAAAAAGTACATTTACCTTAAACAGGCTCTTCATGAACGGTACTGGTCAAGTCAGAGGTTTTGATGAACTGTTATCAGAATTGTCAACTTTTAGTGGTGTTTACCAGGGTTATCCACTTTCTCTGTTTTTATTTACTTTTGTCATAGATGTCATTTTAGAGACTATACTTTCATATTATGAAGCTTCATGGGTTAATCTTCTAACACGAGATTCAGTTGTTGACTTAAAATATAGTTCTGTTTCGTGAAGACACTGATAATATCAAGAACACAGAACCTGCCGGTCTATTGAGTCAAATGCTGCTTTTAAGTCAAGAAACGCCACCATTATCGGACGCCGATAAGCATGCCTGTGTTCTAGAACCTGACAAATGGTCACTATATATGGTCGATGCAGCGACGACCATGTCTGAAGCCAGCCTGATTTTCTCGTGTTTCGGTTCACGAGTCTTAGTTAGGCGTCCGATAATTATTGAGGCTAATATTTTAGATGCTATATTAGTTAAACTAATCCCTCTGTGGTTGTCACAGGATGATTTTGACCCTTTCTTATATATTGAGGCAATCTGTGATTGCGACCAATCAGATGGAATTACGTCCAATTCCCAGATTTTAGCTAAAATATTAGTCAACCTAATCGCCAAAATTGGACCACCATCCTTAAAGACCTCTGGAGCCAGTCCATCTGGACCAGCTGCCCTTCCTCGTTTCAGATTAACTATAGCCTTTTGAACTTCAGCAAGAGTTGGGGGACCTACTTCAATGTTCCATTCACACTGTGTGGGAATGGAGGGTAGTTGTAGAGTAGCTGAAGGCCAGCTGAACTGTTCTCTGAAATGTTCCGCCCATCGTTCTAAACGTCTGGACTGGGAGCATATGGGAGTATCGTCTTTTTCCGAAATAATCTCACTTACACTTGACTTATTGGTTCCTGTTTCTTTATTAGTCTGTAAAGCTGTCTTGTGTTCCCTATAGTCGCCGCCCTTTCCATCTCTTTTGCTTTCGTTGCCCACCACTGCTCACGGTCGTTTCTTAGACTTTTTCTTAACTTAGATCTGATTTGTTGTCGCTCTTCATTATGTTCGGAACTTGATGGGACGAGTTTGCGAGAATCCATCAGTGTGATAGACTTTGAAGAAATCCACTGGTTCTTTGTAACTCTGTGGTTTAAGTCACTAATAGATGTCATTGTTGTTTCCACAGCTGCTTGTATATCTTTCCAAGCAACATCTGGGTCAGCTTCGTTTTCAGAAGTACCTAAGTGTGACTTTGGTTGTTCCTGGAACCTATTTTTGGTTTTCTCGTTACTCAACTCAGTTCTAATGGGTCTTTTTAATGTGGCTTTTTTGCGTCCAGTGAGGCGCAAGCAGATGCGTGCCCGTATTAGGGCATGGTCGGAGTCCAAGCAGGTACTCCAGAACGAGTGACAGTCTTCTATCGAGCCTCTAACGATGACTGATGGCAATATGGTCTATTTGAGTCTATCGTTGGTTTGGTGTAGGGGGTCGCCATGTTAGACGATGTCTCTCTTTATGCTTAAAATTTGTGTTTGCTAAAAATAAGCGATTGTCTGAGCACAGTTGCAGCAGACGATCACCATTATCTGTTCGTTGTGCCGGAATACCAAAATACCCACCTAAATGTCTTTCTGTTTGGTTTAAACTACCTATCTCGTGATTGAATTCGCCTTTGGTTTTATTGCTTTTAGTCTTACCGTTCTTTAATCGACTTTTCTGGCGTGGTTAGGACCTTGAGGAACGGTTGTTCCAACCAGTATATTTCGACTAGTTCATCACGATAGGCTAGCCTGACTAACACATCAAGTAGCAGCAACTATCGGGCAAACTAACTTTAGAGTAAAACGTCTACTCGCGATTCGTGTCCTCTAGTGTGCAAAATGACGCAAAAGTAGTTGGGGTCATCAGAACTGGTGAAGAATGCTGTTCACGTGTGTCACTGGCAAGACTTTGTACTTCTCATGATAGAAAGTGTTTACAGATTTAGTTATATTATTTTCTTTTATGTTTAATTGAAATAGTATTTTTGTTATAATATAATATCTGTTCTGTAAAACATTTGTATTTTCTATCCAATATCTATTTTAAAGTACTTTACTTTATATTTTGCTCTTTTTTCCACAGTGGTGATTCATTAGATTGGTTATCAATGTCTGGTATGCAATTTTTGGAAATCAAACCATTCCCGATTAAACAAAGTGAGTATAGTAATAATCACTACTTATAGTTAAGTTGTCTGTTTTTTTATTATTACCGTACATGTCCCATTTAATTAATCTGTAACTGAGCTCTTCAATCGTTATCCTTTGTGGTTCATAAATATTTATGGGCTTGGATACTGAATTGTGTACACAAAAATCAGTATTCATCAAGATGTATGTACGTACTCTTGTTGAAAAAAGGTAAACGACCTATTATCTGAATTATTTTGTCTAATTGTAAGCTAATGGTGTCTAAAATGTGCAGTAGTCATTCTAATAAAAACCTGATATTCTTCACCCTCATTATATGATACAAATCAATAATCAGTCATTTATATCGTCTGATTAAGGCAATTTCTTTTTTCTACAAAGAAACTTGAAATTGGCAATTCTACATTATGAAACCATAATTTACATCTAAAAAACTTTCACTTCTTAGATTTATATTTTACAGAAACAGTTTCAACTAAATCGAATTGATTTTGTTTATTTTATTTTCTGTTTTAAAAATGTTTGTATAGAGGATAATGTACCAGTGAAAACAATTGAGGATTGTATGGTATGTTATATTGATAACTGTAATATCAAATTCTTTTTTTTTCATTTTCAAATTTTTGAGTGTTTATTGCCTTTCAGTAGTTGCTTACCATTCAAAATAAGGCAGCACTAGATAGTTGTTCTGATTGTAATCAGACTTTAGCAAGGAAGAAGCTGGAAAAAAAAACATATGCATATCGATTGAAGCTATTGTATTACATCAACACAGAGATATAAAAGTCTTTAAAGTGTTAATATATCTGCTTTTTTTAAAAATCTATTCCTAGCTACGTTTCGATTTTAGTCTAGGATTCTAGGTGACGAAACAATTCTCGTAATGAAAATTTTCTATACAATCATCTTTTAATCAGTGATTCAGCGCCGCTCCTGTGTAACGTAAAATTATTGAAGAATGAACAGTTAAGCATACATTTTCTTTGAAAAGGTTAGAGGTTTTGAGATCATTCGAGCCTGTGCTACAAATATAGAATCAATAATTGATCTAACTTGAAATGCCAGCTTAAGTCATAGCAACTACTTACTTACTTACTTACTTACTCCTGTTAACCCTCATGGAAAGACACAGGCCATCCACTTGTATTCTCCATCGAACTCCGTCCTGAGCAATCCTTTACAGTTATTTCCACTTGCTATTCATTCTTTTCATGTTTGCAAATCCGTCACCATTCTCGTTCGTTTCTCCCAGTCAGTTCTTGTCGTCCCATGACATCTTGATCCCCGGTGTTGTTCATTCAGACTTTGGCGCTTACTTCTCCCATCAGGTTGGTCAGGTTCTTTCCTGGGCACCTATCTAAAATCCACTGAGGCCTCATTAAATTGGTCATTATGATCTTCATTGCTGTATGGATTGGTGCATTACACTGGATAAGAATAATCTTTGTTCCCTTCGTTCTTTATTTTGAAGGATGCTTTGATGATTGTGGATGAATAAGATTTCGTGCTTCTCTAAATAGAACAATTACAACTCTCTGTGTGTGAAGCATTTTCTTCTTCATGACCAGAAAAAACAGCGTCTCTACCAAAACTAATCTTTTCTGTCTAATTTGGGTCCAATAGGTTTTACTAGTTCCGGTCACTGACAAGATCTCTCTCCTCGTTTCCGCAGCCATTTGACTGATTCTCTCGCTCTCCTATATTGTCCGGACATCCCATGTATCTATTCTGTTACATAGTGTATTTTCATATATTAAAAAGTACTTGAATTAGTCTACCCTTATTGTAACTTGTCATATTTATCTTTTATTCCAGGAACTGTCACCCGAAAAATCTATAGCTGATATCGCTCAATTTCTTGTTAAGTAAGCATATATTTTTTCTCGTTCCATCACAGTTTCGTTTCAAAAAACTTCAGTAACATTTTTCTTTATGTCAACATAACATATACATTTGATGGACGCTTCTTCATTACTCTTATTTCCTTACCACAAACCTTGTGTGTCGATCATATTCAGCTTATTACCAGTTATGGCATAAACGATATAGCTTCACCTAGGATTATGATATTGAAGAAAGCATCCACCCAAACTCCCGTGTATAGTTTCCGTTAGTAAAATCATTGTTTTAATCATCAAAAATTACAAGTTCACATATTTGATTTCTCATTCATCATAATCCCGACCGAAGCTGCTTCCTTTACGTGGTGATCGGGCTTGCCTATCGTGATGACCCAACCGAGATATATTGGCTGGAACATATGTTCCTGTAGGTTCTACCATGCCAGGCAGGTCGATTGGTGAACGGTAAGACTAAAAGCAGCAACTCAAGGTCTGAGGGCGAAGTCTTACTGCTGACTGTAGAGGGGTGTGACAGCAGTAAGGTGTTTCCCTCGGACAACCAGCATGACAGCGATGCTGCCTTCCCACAAGGAGGGGTGGGGTTAGAAAAGGTCGACCCTAAAAATGTCACACCTCACCTTACCTCACGGATTTCCGTCTCCGGTGGTAAGGCCCTTTGAAGAACGGAGCTAACACATCAAAAACCTTCCACAAAAAGGTCGTGCGCGACCGGCCTCAAGCAGTTGTCCCTTGGGCTCTGCGGTCACGCTCCCAGGTCGTCAAGACCAACACTAATCCAATTTCCTTTTCAGGTACTTCCAGAAGAACCCTTCCATGGTGTGGGCAACCGCGAAGTGGTGACCGCCCTCATACCTCTAACAGCACTCAAGACCACTGTATTCATAATCATCCTCCGTCTTCACACTTTGTGCCTGAGAAGCCTCGCCTCTTCAAGTTGAGGATGTTAAGAAACTCTTTGTGTTTGATCATTGTTGTTTCCAAACGATTGCTTACATTCAATAACATTTAGTGTTCGTTATAGAGAGGTTTGATGGTTTGTGCTCGAGTGGAGTAACGATTTTTGCGTTGGTGTCACCACTTTAAATGACCGGTTTTGTTAGCTTGTACATGTGCAAAGTTACCATTACTGCTACTGATATCACTGTCAGTAATGGCAAAGATTAATTTTTTCTAATCAATCTTTGTGGAATACAATCGTTATCACCTTTTTTTCTGTATTTTTTTTCTGTTAGTCAACCTAAAAGTAATGAACGTGTGGGATATACCGTACAATCAATAGGACAATTGTGGGATTTGCCAAGTAAGGGATTTTCGATACTTTACTACAATATTTGCACTCCAAATATTTATCTTTAATATATTGGCCAGTAAATGAAAATTGAGAGTTTTAGGTGTTGATCTCATAGGGTGGCTGACTGATTGACTCTCATAGGTTGGTTATTAACCTAGCAAACTCTTAGCTTATAGTCATTCATATTTGAAGTGACTTTCAATCTTATTCACTACTTATACGTCACATAATATGTAATTAAATGTATTATTTTGCTGCATAAAAATGATGCAATTTATTGACTAGTTAATTTTTGTTTTATTTACCACTGGTTTGGGGAGCTGCAACAAAAATGAATCTTCTGTATTTCATAGTATTTTTCTTATTATATCTATTAAAATAGCGAATCTCTCATTCGTACACCATTTACTGCTTCATGGCAGTTAACAACAGAGTTAGAACATAAACCCACGTTGAGAAACTTTAATAAATGAAAGGAGAGACTATGGTTAATAAAAAAGTCACAATATCTTGACATTCGTTACGACAATGGTCAATCACTCTATTCAATCAAATTAAAAATTAACTTGTTCCACAAACATGGTGTAACTCTACTACTTGGAACTATATTTATTAGGTTCAGATCATAATGTTCACATCAGTACTGGGATGGTTGTACATCTCGGCAATTAGTCTCGAATAGAACAAAATAATTATGCCAACCTCCACTTATAGCTCCTATTCAATATAAACGTAGCTTATAAGCGCAAGTAATATAAAAAAATATTTCTTCAATAAGTTCATATTTTAAAAGAAACTGAATAATCTAATTCTGAATAATCAAAACTGAACTTACAAAACCTTGTAACTGTTAGTCCGAAGTCAATTAATTTTCTATCCTTTTATCAACATCAGTTTCTTATTGTTGATCCTCTCTTTCTGTGTTGTTGCAACGTCGAATAAATTACATTGATACTCCATTATGCCAAATCCCTCCTTGTTGTATATTTCGCAAATTGTGTTCATCGTTTTATACCTAACTAAATAGAGTCGAAATCATTTAAAAAATTCTCCGCGCATTTATTTCAGGTAGATTGATTTTGTTGCATCACTTTGTGAATCTTGGAGCTGTATCTTTATTCAAACGTATTTTGTGGTCTTTGCCTAAACAAGATCGGGAAATGTTATACCCATTAAAATTTGTTGCTTATATAATACAGTAAGTCTGGTAATTTAGATGTCTTATTTACATGGTTTGTAATCATATGTTAGGTGTTAGTTTTTCTCATTCTATTTATGATGGCTTCTGAAAAATGGTATTTTGCGTCCGGATTACGTATGGTATCATGAGTATAAAGTAACAGGTTTATCTCTGTTCCTGATGAAAATTGTCTTTAAACTTTAATTATTCCTCTTTCCTAACAAGTGTTTGATCAAACGTGTCTTCGAAGAATTGGTCACACATATGTTGAGACTAATAGGTGATCAATCCTGAGTTTAGGAATGTGGTACGAGGGAAAATTGTCAAAATGATTGATAATGTTGTGAATGTTTATCGACTAAGGTGGTTGCAGCATGTATCACATATATATCAAACCACCGCCTACCTCAACGAGCGATGTCCGATGGTATAGGGATATGTTAGAAGAAAGAGGTGGTCAGACATGAACTTATTCATAAATTCACTGACTAATTATTCCTTCCATATTGACTGGTACGAACTATCTCTTTTTAAACCGAGAGTTTACCGTTATCAATGGTTTGAAATGTTAGTTGATAGAATTGTTTGTAGTTATTCAAATGCATTCATTATACTGCAGTATTTCAATTTTTCTCTTCATCATATTATTTTCTCATGTTAATGCAGTATGGAAACGTATGCCAACGCGCATTTATGTACCGTTCTACGTCGATAATAACGGATTGACTGACTATTTTTATTTTCTCTTAGATCTTGAGTTTTAAACTTAGCTTATTCCATTTTTCCCAAGTTCATCCTCTCTTTTCGAACTATATTCTGTATGCATAATTTTTCAACTTAATAACTTCTTTTCGTTATATTAATTTGGTTTAATAACCTGCTCTGATTCAAATATGTACCAGGAACTATTTTGCTTCTGAACTATCTTTAAGTTACTTACGTTTTCATACCATAAGTTTACTTTATCAATTTACTTAATTATTTCATATCACATTTATCATAATAAACAATCTATATACCTTTAATTTTCTTAGGGCTTTTTCGAGTTCTGCCCTTACTGGTGGTATGCAAAGTGCGGAAAATGCAAATTTTGCTATTCAAAGACTAACAGATTTACCATCTAATCAATTAGCTACTATTATTTGCAGTCCACACATGGATACTTTGTTTCAGTGTTGGCCTACTAAACATATAAAAAACTGTAAGCAGCATTTTTCTGAATGTCTTTTCTGAGTTTTTCAGAAGTATGTCGTGTAATGCTTGTGTAGTGGAATTTTTTTTGTTATCCTCGAGAAATTTGTTTTTGAGGGACAGTGGCATGTTGGTTAGGACTCTTAGTTCTCAATCGATAGGTTGCAGGTTTGAAAACCGCTCTGACTGGTTTTTATAGTCTCACTAATCCCAACATAAATAGTGTGACTAAAATCGAAATACATAAACTTGTAATTATTTTCTTGGAATGATTAGTGAAAATTTATCCAATTTTTGAAGTCCTGGTTTAAGAAATATCTGAAAAATATTCATTCTGGATTTTTTTTCTTTAGATTCACAGTTCCTTGTTAATCTTATCTCCTTAGAATGTAACGATGATAATTATTCAACTATTCAATGTTTAATTATAAACTTTTATATTCCAAGATTTTTATCAAAGAAGGCATATCATATTCATTCATTCTTTGTTTACTTTCTTATTAGTGATTACAATTGTAAATAAAATATCCGAAAATGGTAATAGTTCAATTAGTTCACAGTTAGCTGGAGTTTTAGTCAATCGTGGATTATATAGCCAGATTGATCATTTGATCAAGGTAAGTAATATTACTGTCGCTTTTCTTTCTTGGTACTTCAACAGCCGATCTTCACGTTAGACATAGTATATTATCTGACACTTCTTAAAAGCTCTTCTCTCCCTCTCACACACACACACCAACAAATATAAGTGAAGACAACCAGTGAAGCAGTAGTAGGCCCCAACATACAAATGGGAAAAACAAGATTCTGGAACATGGCACACTGAGCACCAACCCAATGACACTTGATGGAGAAGCACTGATAGAGGTGGAATGTTCCACATACATAACATGGTCAGCATCACTGATATACAAGGAGGATCTGATGCAAATTATAAAGGCAACGATAGTCAAAACAATGGCAGAACTTCTACAACTGGTGGTGATTTTGACCTAATGTAAGCCACTTCTTTGGAGTAAATAAATAATCATATGGTTTATTTAATCTGAAGAATTGGCTTATATCATGTCAAGAAACGTTAGAATTACAATTTTTCAACGCAATGGGATATAACAAAAATTGTTTACTATTACCTTTCTACTCAACGCTCAATCTATTTGAAACTATCACGTCCAACCTTGGCATTGATATCTTAGTTTTATTTGTATATTTCTAGTCAGTAATATATAAACTATTGCTTTTTCTGCTTTTAAATCTTTAGATCAATAAGCCTATACCGCCCATATTTTTGGCTGGTAGTTCTCGATTTCCGCTAACGGAATCATCTTTCCTATCAACATTGGAATTTGTGAATACTCATAATCCTGAACATATTTCCGAATTTTTGGATCATTGTAAACGTAACGCAGGTATGGAATAATAATGGTATTAATGATTAAACAAATGCACATAATTATAGTATGCTTCAAATGATTCACAAATATTTTTCACTTTAATAATTCTCATTTAACTGAATGTTTGCTGCTTGAAGATATCCGCTTCTGGGTATGTTGTAGGTTATTTGATCATTGAATTAGTTAATAAAACACTACATTCTATATCAGTAACACTCAGGTTTGAACCTCTCTTCCCCTTGCTTATATGGGACGAATTGTATGCATTTAGGGTTTTGGGGATTTTATGCTACTTCATTGATACTTTTTTGAAGAAATGCTCACAGTTTGGTGATAACATTTTTCATGAAAAAATAAATTATTAAAAATCAGGGAGCACTGAATAGATATTTTTCTCCAGTTTGAGAATCCTTAAAAGTACTGATTCACGATTACAAATATGATTACGCTCAAGAGAAATCCTATTAAAGGTATCTAGTGTGTCGTATGTTGTAATGGTGATCTCATGACCTTCGGTTTTCTTGATCCTACCATGGGCTATGGGACAGTTCACGACGCTATTGTTGTGTGATTCTTTGTCGGTCCATGAACCTTATATATTATATTGATATCCTGGTCGGATTTGGATATCGTGGTGACGTTATCGAGCTATTGGTTCGAACACTAGGTCCTACCCATTGCAGGTAGGTTGAAGAAAAGTAGGAATAAAAGAAGAAAGCTCATCGTCCTAAAATCAAGTCATACTGCTGACTGTACAGGACTGTGACGACAGTAAGGTATCTCCCTCAGAAAACCGGCATCTGCAGAGACTCCTTTCCACAATAAAAGAGGTAGGTTAGAAAAGGGTAAGCCTAAAAATGTCACACCCCATCTTACCCTACAGATTTCTGTCGTCTGAAAAGTACAAAACTAACATCTTAAACTACTCGAGAAAAGGGCGCACGTGATCAACCTTGAAATTTGAAGTCACGCTTAAGTCGTCAAGACCATTTGCAATTAAGTTTCTTTTTCAAATTCTTCATGAAACACTACTTTTATTATATGGGCCACGTAGGAGTGGAAACTGTCCCCATTCTTCTGGAAAAAAACTATAGATTACCGAATTTAATTAACACCTGCGTCAAGTTGTGCTACCATTTTTAACGCTTGGATGTAAACTACACATTTTCATTGGCACCATCTGATTTTCCGTACATACATGATTCGAACTTGTGATCTATTGGATTGATTATTCTAAATCATTAATCTGTGATTGCCCGTCAACTTTAATTGTTATTAATATATTAACTTTGAAAGAGTCTAACTTTCAAAATATAAAAAAAAAGAACATATATTCTTTCTTAAATGACTATTTACTAAGTTTTATATTTTGTTCACAATGTTCATCAACTAAAACTATTTTCATGGTACTTTTGTTTGTTTCTTTCGATCTTCTCTTCTAGAACGGTATTCTTCAGAGAAACAAAGCAATACTTGATTAGAGAATAATTGTAAATAGAAAATTGTTAATGACCCCAACCAAGTTATACGTCATACTCTCTCTCTCTCTCTCTCTCGATTAATCTCTAGTTTGTTATTATCAAGTAGTGATGAGAGAGAAAGACTGTTGTACAAAATAAAGAAATATATATTTTTCATATTTGGATATATAGTTGTGTTATTTTGTTGTTGTTGAACATATTTTACACTGGTACTTGCTTTCAGTTATGTCTTGTCTAATTATAGAACAGTTATGTAATTTTACTACGATTTTCCTCCAATAGACTATAGTAATGTCAATTAATATCTTTATACAAATTGTGTAGCAAATGATGCTTTCAATTTGTATACACAAAAGGGAACTCATATGACGAAGCAGAATACAATATCTTTGAATAAATTTTATTATTCGATAGTTATATAAGTGGATTTGTGGTTATTTCTCTGCAGTTTGTGATCTTGTCAGTTATATATGACTAAAGGCTATCTTTGTGTTTGATGAAAGAACCATTTCGTTTAATATTAATGTTACTCTAATTCTTCCACAGCGTCTAATCAGTCAGGTAATGAATTCATCCTCATACCTCTAACAGTACCCAAGATCATCTCCTTTACGATCGAATCTATTCCCACAACTAACCATTCTTGAATATCTTTATCACTCTGTGGCACCAATACTAATGATTTGGGTTCAAAGAAATGTTATTTCTGGTTTCCTGAAACCACGCTCTAAACTATATGTTGAAGCTTTTATTGTTCGAACCTTGTGTCAGATAGGAAAACAGGCTTCTTTAGATAAGACTCTAGATTCTCGCATTATCTATTTATGCTGTCTCCGAAACGCGCATAAGGGATCCACGTGCAGTTATCCACTTAACTTCATCTTGTCAATATAAAGAACCAGCATGATTTACCCTTCGTTTGTCTGAAGATCTCACTGCTATCTTCCGAGTTCTGAAGCAGAACAGGCTTTGTCAGACTTGGTTCTAATAGGCAGTCACTTGTGTGGTGTCCGACCAAACGGGCCTGTAAAAACTTGAAAAGATAGGGACATACGTCATTGTCTTTTCTTTGTCTCTCCCAAAGATTGCAGCTCGGATGAAGATAAAGATGAATTTTATGGGAAGCTATCACACCTCTTTCAAAATTCTCAGCTCTCGGATGCAGTAATAATCTCAGGTGATTTCAATGCTCAAGTAGGTAGACTAATCCAAATCAAAAGGTATTTTGGTGGATAATGGCGACCGACTATTTCTAGCAAACACTAACTTCAAGCATGAGAGGAAACACCGATTGACGTAGTGACCCCCATAATCAACTCAAGTAGACCACATCGCCATCATCCATAGTCGGAGATGGTTGGTAGAAAACTGTCACTCATCCTAGGACACATGTTCAGACTCAGATCATGCTCTAGTTCGAGCACATATTTTTCTGCATTTTACTGGACATAGAAAAGCCACAGTAAAAAAAAAACCTTAGGGTTTAAGTTAATGATAAAAAGGTTAAGAATGTATTTTAGGAACAACTAGAGAAATATTTAGTCAATCATGAGAGAGATATCCGCCCCGAGAGAGCTTGACATGGAATCGGAAATGCTGTGAAAAAAGCAATGATTTCGACTAGTAACTTGAATCAAAACGTCAGGAAAAATCAGCAGATTTCATCGGTGTCTATTGTATTGACAGATGCTCAGAAACTCATCCTGCCGAACACGATGAAAAGTGGAAGCAGTTTAAACGTTAGCTGATAAAAAGCCTATGGAATGATCGTGGTCAGTGGTGGGAAGCGAAAGCAGAAGTGATGGAAAATGTGGTGGCGATGAGTAACAGTAGATAACTGCTAAGACTTACCAAAAAAATATGGCTGTTAGTAAGAATATCTTGGAAAACGACTGAACTATTATTCACTCAATCAATGGACAGAGCACTTTAGTTACCCACTATCTGCAAGTAACCTTAAAGGCAAACAGATGTAAATTTTCCATATCTTAGTGAGGCTATTAGCAATCTAAAGTGAGGAAAAGCAGAAGGGCTTGATGGATCAACCGTTGAGAATCTTATGGATAGTAGTCCAGTTTTTGGCAATTAGAATAACTGAGATCCTAGCTGAAATCTGGAAATGGGACGTTATCTGATCTGATTAGTCTCGATCGCCGATCATCCTGGTCTATAAGAGGACAAAATTCCTCCTGTGACAATCTCAGAGAAATCAGTCTAACTATTATAGTGTCCAAAATATTAGCCCTAGTAATGCTTAGTCGTCTAACTATGGCTAGTGAAAAGCAAACCCGAAAAAACCTGGACGTGCATATATAGATTAAATATTTACCTTTCGGCAACTTCTGGAACATAGACGTCTGACTATTGTTGTATACCTTGACATGAAAGTGTCGTCCGACTCTACTGATCGTGATGTTTTGTTGGTGCCTTTCGTTGGAAGGCGTATCAACGTAGATTGACTAGTAAGCTTCATCGTCCTTGCGATTAGTGGGATTTCTGTACGTATGTTGTAAGCTCGTTAGACATTACCCGTACATGTTGGAACTACGATTTAGGCAGAGAGCAGTGGATAGAGATGGCAAGTCTGTTGATATAGTGAATCTTGGAAAATACTCAACAGGATTGGTTACTATGAGCGTCATCCACTTTCCCTGTTTTATTTGACCTTGTTATAGATATGCTTTCAAAGATATTATTTTTGTCCTCTGAATTACAAAACGTTGATTTACCAGAAAATTGTCTTGTTAATTTTAGATACATAACTGACATAGGTCTGTTGGATTAAGATACTGACAAAATTCAGAGTTTACTAGCCACCTTTCGAAATGATGCAAACGTATTTGGAATGCGGTTCTCTCCCTCTAAATACAATCTATCAGCTTACATCACAGCCTGAATTATTGATGGAGAATGAAGTAACTGTACTCATCAATCGACTCACTTATCTTGGGAGTCTTATTATTTCTGATGTCTGACAAACTTTCTGCGTGAATTCAGAAGGCTAGTTTGATTTTTGCCAACATGTGTCCTTGCGGCGTAGGAGAAATATCCGTCTTCCAACCAAAGGAAGTGTATACTGTTCATCAGTTCTTTGTATTTTAGTTTATGAATGTGAATCATGACCACTAGCATTAGAAAATATTGATGGTTCACTGGTATATGTTCGTATTTAGTCATTACGCTCATTTCATAAAATAACCGAATGAGCAATATTGAAGCTCCGTATCAGTCAACTACAACGTGAGATCAGGCGCACATGCAACGGTCCAAGTTGCCACACCTCACTGGCATAACAAGATGAACACCGAATTCATTGGTAGAAATATATGAAATAAAGATTGTGTACAAGGATATGATACATGGAGAAAGAATTAGTTGATAGTAAGAAAGATATAAAGCGATTTTAATCTCATGTTTTATGGGAACACAAAGAGTGTATACACCGACACCGTTGTAATCGATTCTGAACCCTGTCACCAAGAATACTCGTCCCTTAATTAATAGACGGATTTAGATGGTGGTTCGAGGTAGTCAACAGGAAACCCTGGACCCGTGTTTCGTGCTACTTGGCACTCGTCAGCAAGGTGTACCACCATCTAAATCTCAATACATAGTGCCCGCAGTGTCGAGTCACCTAGACTGGTGGCCACATTGCAACATGATCGATAGCATTCGATCTGCACTAATAAGGACTAGACAAGCATGACATTGATCACCACCCATCATTTGTGATAATAGACGGATATCTCGCCTTCGCCATAGGTGACGTAAGTTGGCAAAAGCCGAGCAAGCTTTTCGAATCCTTGATGAGATTTCGTCAGACACTAACCTATTAGGGTTGATCAAACTTCAAAGATCAGTGAAGTTGTCAACGCGTTCGACCACTTCACTCCCTATCCTTAGTTCAGGTGTAGACGCAGACCAGTCCTGAAGCAACAACTTGCATTCAGAGGGAGAGAAGCACATTCCAAACATTCTGGCATTGTTGCTCAGTGCTACCAAAAGACTCTGCATTTTATCAGCGTCTTCACCAAACAGGACTATATTATCTGCGTATTCTAAGTCAATAAGTGGACCTCCTTGTAGGAGAGCAATACCTAGAAATTCAGTCGACGTGAACTTTATTTCCAGCAGTAGGTTTACCATGTAATTGAACAAAGATGTAGAAAGTCGACAGTTTTGACGGACACCACTTGAGGTTGCAAAATCAAACGCTAGGTAAGGGATGGTAAATCAATTGATGAAATAGTGAGTATTACCTAACTGTGTTTAGGATATATGTCCACGTATGTTTATTTAACAACTATCTCAACCTGCAAAGATGGTCGACGCATAAGTTGGAAAACATTTAGGCGCGTCATCAGTTGATCAAATTATTGAAGTTGGGTTGAGCCATTTTGCTACATATAGACTAACCAGATTGAATATATACGTTTATCGTAATGAACGATTGCAAAAATTATTTAGCAGAGGTCAACATCATTCACAACCATAGATGCAGATACGGTCGATCTGGTTCTGCATAGTGTGATGTGATGAGACCTTTGTAGCTTTGTGTATGCATTTGTAGCGGAATATAGTGCCACCTATAATCATTTCAACTGGAATCATGAGCCCATCGGTGGTAGAGCTCTATTAAAGTCTGAAAACACTGAACGGCTGCTTTGTTATAGAATGGGATTACCTTGCACTGAGTATCCACGATCCCATACGTGGGAGTCGAACCCAGGACCTTCTATATCTCACGTAAACTCTTAACCTCTAGATCACTGAACCGAGATTTATCTATGTTGATATCTAACTCCAACCAATGCACGATATTTCACGACCATGTTTGTTAGATTCGTTAGGCTTGAATGCTACTACTGACTCGGCTTATTCAGAACGGAACGAAGTATCAAGGATTCAGAGACTCGATAGGCTATTCTGGTCCGTTGTCCCCGACTCAGCTAACTCGATCACGAAGTCTTGGTAAGGCGTAGAAAGTGTCTTCTACAGGCAAACAGCAGATACCAAGTCAAGTCAAGCACATAAATCAAGCGTATTCATACAAATATTTATAATCGATATTGTCATGGAAAATTTTTAAACGTTAATCAATAATTTCATCAATTGATTTATTTTCACATTTAATCGAAAAGTTCATCAATTGACTACCATTCAAATATTTAAACATTTAATCGATAAGATGAAATTACAAAATATGAGTTTTGGGGATCTATCGTCCCCAACAATGTTACATTGTCTCTGTTGGGTGACGGCCTCACCCAGGACCGTTGAATTCCTTTGGTCATAGCTTGTCAGTAGAACTCCAAGAATTACATATAAAAGCTAGTCAGTAGTGAGCATATGAGAATTATCAGTATAGGGTTGTGGAGATTGTTGAGCTATGATTGAGATCATGAACCGATCAACGTTCGTTTGTT